TTCCTCCCTGTCAATTTGTACACTATACAAGATTGATTGCTTTTTTGCTAAAAATATACCTTTTTTCTGCAGAAAAACCTGATCTGAACAAAAATTTTTACTGTCTTAAATGGTTCTCACACTGCAAGGCTGAGATGGGTGAGCTGGGTGACTGACAGAGCCAAAGAAGGCATGCATTTCCTCTTTTTAACAAGTCGTAGTATTTTTATACTCCTTGTCCCTTTAGACAACCACCTAATGTTAGTATTTATTCATATTTAAGATTTAAATTTAGCTCTGGCTGGTGTAGCTCAGTGGATTGAGCGCTGGCCTGTGAACCAAACAGCCACAGTTCGATTCCCAGCCAGGGCACATACCTGGGTTGCAGGCCAGTTCCCAGCAGGGGATGCATGAGAGGCAACCTCTCTGTCTCTCTCTCTCTCTCTCCTTCCCTTCCCCTCCAAAGATAAATAAATAAAATCTTTAAAAAAAAGATTTACATTTAAAGTAGAAAGTATTCAGTGGGAAAGGATAAATTTTACCCTTCTCAGAGAAGGAGTTCTGTAGATGTATACAAGTTTTGTTTGCTTTTAAATATTAGCAGGTCACTTTTCTAATTATGAGCTTAGAATATTAACATACAGTTCTGATTTTTATAAAGAGCATTAAAGAGGAGATTACTGATTAAATAAGCTTTGTTGACTTTTGTAATTGACAAAAAATGTATCTTTGCTTAACAACTTCTCTTACAAGTAATTATACAACTGGGGAGGAGAAATAATTTGCAAATTAATCTGCTAAGTAATTGAGATGAACTGGACCTAATTTGTCAACATTTGAGTTTCATCTCCAAAGTTTACTATCTATATGATGTTGAGTTACTTAACCTTTTAAAGTGTGTATAAAATAGGGATAATAATGATAGTACTTGCCTTATTGGAGTTGTTAGTAGCTAAATAATTGTTAGCAGATAACTTAGCATAGGTATGTAGCATGATACTTACCAGGTGGTAAGCAGTGAGCCATCAGATGACTGTTTCAGTACTAGAATCATCTTTTAAGAAAGACCTGACTTTCCCCCTTATTTTGTTAATAAATGTGTCAGTGTGTAAAGTTACACAGTCCTAAAATTAATTTGGAAAGAAAAGTCAAATAAATATGTTCCTTTAGTAAAGAAAAATTTCATTGCCTTTGAACATGGCAGCTATTTTTCTGTTTAATCTGTAGCTGTGTAATGAACCCAGTGTACCTGGCTCATTTTCGCATACCTATTATATAAAATGGGAAACCTTTTAAAATAAACGACTGTCGATGTATGATTTAAGGTATACTTTTTATAAGCCTGTTTTAATACTAAAATCCATCACATTTGCATGGCACTGAATTTAAAGGAAATGTTAGTACAGTTGGCTCTCTTTGGAGTTATATAATTTATTTTCACTCTCAACATTTAAACATTTTGTGATCTAATATAAATTATTATATTTGCAAAGTTATATATCTACCTAGCACAAGAACACACCAAGCGTGTTCCTGCCCCCACCTTCTTTGCTCCCTTTGTCTAGAATCCTTTTTCCTTAATTATGGCCCAGCCTTGGGGCGCTAAGCTAAATCAGGGCTCTGCAAAAGGGATATGTACTTTTGAAAGATGTTGTCTCTTCTGTCTAGAATGTCACACTCTTCATCCTTATCTTGTTGTTTTACCCCACTGCCAGGCATTGTATTATAAACTCTTGTTTGTTTATTTTTCAAGTCATTTTTCCCATTAGAATAATAGGAGAGAGCAGGAACTTTGTTTTCTTCACTGCTGTTTGCCACTGTGTGAGATGAGAGTACAGGGGCCTGGCTCATTGTAAGCATTAATAAATATTTGTTACGTGAAATCATTAGCATTGATTGAATTAAAACATATTTTTATTGTATAGATGGAGAGAAGGAATCCATGAACCAATTTAAATAATTATTTTCCATGAGAGTTTAAGGTATTTATGCTAATAAAAAATGACCCATTTAAAAAGATGAGATTCTCTTTCCTCTACTCCACCAACAAAGAAAAAGAAAAATGTGATTTAAAGTTGAGAGTACTTTGTATGTAGTATGAACTGTCGTCAGTCAAGAGGCCTGATTGAGAACACCAGGTTAACTTATAATCCTGGTAAGACTGCACAATCATTTAATTGCTCTAGGTTCATTTCCTTCTTTCCTTTCCATGATCTGGCCCAGTACTTCGTCCACAGTTAGGGTAGTCAGTAAATGTTTGTTGGGTGAGTGAGTGAACCTGTGAAATGAGTAAACTCGTGAGCTAGGTCTTAGTTTCCCAAAGAGTGTCCCAAGGACCCTTGAATAAGAGATTCTGGAGTAAAATGGATCAAAGACATTTGAAAGACACTACTGAATTGATTTGCAAACTGGAATGTGCATCAGAATTAGCTAGAGGGCCTGTAAATACCCTGTCTGTCAATAATGCATCATATTGCACATGCCTATTAACATACTTGAATCTCTTGTTCTCTGGGCCACACTTTGAGAAACAGGGCCAGGCCACATCTGCATTGTTTTCCACATAAAATGGTGATTTTTTTCTTTGCCTGCTTGGGTAGGTGAATACTTAGTTGTATTAGGGGTGAAACTATCAGAATTCAACTCTGTGCAGAGTTGGAAGATAATATGATATTCATGGTCTACATGGAATCGCTTATATACATTTATGTATTTAAAATTTGTAACATATGCATTTTATAATATATTTTATTGATTATGCCATTACAGTTGTCCCATTTCCCCCCCATTATTCCCCTCCAACTTGCACACCCCCTCCCCGCCCATGTTCCCCACCTTTAGTTCATATCTATGTGTCATAGTTCTTTAGCTTCTACATTTCCCACACTACTCTTGCCCTCCCCCTATTTCCTCCCCACTATTTATACTGCTTATTCTCTGTACCTTCTCCCACCCCTGCCCTGTTGCTAACCCTCCATGTGATCTCCGTTTTTGTGGCTCCCTTCCTGTTTTAGGTGTCTGCTTAGTTTGCTTTCGTTTTAGGTGTGGTTCTTAATAACTGAGTTAGCTGTCCTTTCACTGTTCAGCCTTTTTATCTTCTTTTTCTTAGATAAGTCCCTTTACCATTTCATATAATAAGGGCTTGGTGATGATAAACTCCTTGAATTTAATCTTATCTGAGAAGCACTTTATCTGTCCTTCCATTCTAAATGAAAGCTTTGCTGGATAGAGCAATCTTGGATGTAGGTCCTTGCCTTTCCTGACTTGGAATACTTCTTTCCAGCCCCTTCTTGCTTGGAAGGTGTCTTTTGAGAAATCAGCTGACAGTCTGATGGGAACTCCTTTGGAGGCGACTGTCCCCTTAGCTCTTGCTGCTTCTAGAATTCTCTCCTTCATTTGAATCTTGGCTAATGTAATGATGATGTGCCTTGGTGTGTTCCTCTTTGGGTCCACCTTCTTTGGGACTCTCTGAGCTTCCTGGACTTCCTGGAAGTCTATTTCCTTTGCCAGATTGGGGAAGTTCTCCTTTATTATTTGTTCGCGTAAGTTTTTCACTTGTTGCTGTTCCTCTTCTCCTTCTGGTACCCCTATAATTCGGATATTGGAGTGTTTAAAGATGTCCTGGAGGTTCCTAGGCCTCTCCTCATTTTTTTGAATTCTTGTTTCTTCATTCTTTCCTGTTTGGTTGTTTCTTTCTTCTTCCTGGTCCACTCCATTGATTTGAGTCCCAATTTTCTTTCCATCACTATTGTTTCCCTGTGCATTTTGCTTCTTTTCACTTAGTGTAATTTCATTTTTTCCTCTGATTTGTGACCAAACTCAACCAGTTCTGTGATCATCTTGATCACCAGTGTTTTGAACTGTGCATCTCATAGGTTGGCTATCTCTTGGTCGCTTAAAAGTATTGGCTCTGAGGCTTTGATCTGTTCTTCTGTTTGAGCCATAATTTTTTGGTCAGGTGTTATAGGTGAGTGGCAGAGCCTTAGGTGTTCACCAGGGAGGTACAACCCAGTGGCTGGGTTGTGACGCTGTATATGGGGGCAGGGTCAGAGAGGGAGCAATGGCGCTTGCTCTTGCTCGGATTTCGGTCTCTGCTGCTTCCCGCAAGCAAATTGGGCCCTTCTGATGCTGGTTCCCAGGTGGGTGGGCTTCTGTACATTCTAGGGCCCTGTGGGTCTCTCCTGCGAATTATCCTTTGAGACTAGGAGTTTCTCCCAGCACCTTTCTAGTTGGTGCTTTTAGGCTTTATTTCCAGGTGCTGGAGCCCTGGGTTGCGCAGTCTATCTCACTGCCTGTTTTTTGCCTAGTTTATCTGTGTTCGAATGTGTGACTGCAGTCAGCCCTGTACCGCCTGGGCTCCCGGCTCTGGCAGCCACTGCCTTTTCCTGTGGTGATCCTTCTCTGTAGGTTGCTGACTCGCTCCTCTTATCGGTCTGATTGAATGGTTGTCGGACTTCCGTACAGTTCAATTTTCTACGTTTATATACATTTTGGATTCTTGCTAATGTACATTTGAGATCAATATAGGGATGTATAACAGGAAGAACTTTATGAAAATTGAGCCCCAAATGATGTAATGATATCTTTCTCAGTACCTTGTATACCTTTTATTCATATTTCCCTTTCCATTATGGTTGGTTTTAATTTGCTATACACATTTTTAGAATTTTAGGGCATGGCAAAATTAGGAAATAATATTTTATCATGAGAGTCAAGTTTTCTGTAGAGAAAGATTAAGTTTCAATTAGGGTCTCCTTTTCTCTAGTCGTATTTTCAGATTTAGGGTAGTCTCGTCTCATGGCACAGCATTCTACTTTGCATGTCACATTTTGTTGACTTAACTTCATTTTTAAATATGGTTGTGCTTGCTCTGGTCTTCTGTTTTAGAGTAAAAGATTTTGTTAATTAATAGCAAGGGGATGTTTAAGGAAGAAATGATGGTTACAAAACTCGGTTGATGTTAAATGTAGCACAGAGAGTCTTCATATTTGAATGTAATGAAATGCTTTACATTCCCCAAGGCTGTGGACCTTTCCATTGATGAGTCCAGCTTGACAGGAGAAACAACACCTTGTTCCAAGGTGACAGCCCCTCAACTGGCTGCAACTAATGGAGACCTTGCATCAAGAAGTAACATTGCCTTCATGGGAACACTGGTCAGATGTGGCAAAGCAAAGGTATTTTGTCTGTTGTTCTGAAAATAGCAGATCCTTTGTTTTCAGCCATTTTTCTCAGTTCTTTTTTGCTAATTTTATGGAGACTTAATCCTTGGCAAGTATTGGTAAAGCTGAGAAGAAGCTATTTCTCTACTGTATATTTGTCTGCAGTTCTGCCATTTACCGGATAATGTATCCTTTAAAGGCATAATTCTCAATACCTGTTTTCTTTCATTTTTTTTTATAGAAATAGTGGCTTATGAATATGTTCATTACTAAGTTTGAAATTAGTCATATGGTTCTGGCTGTAATATTCTGACTACATATCATTCATATGTGATTGATACAAATATTTTGTTTCTGCATTCTAATATTTCACATATATAAAAGACAGCAATAAGTAGTATTTTGGGGACAAAGATACTCTACATTAAATGTCTCTAATGAGTATAAGATTCATTTTTCAGAAATACTAATATAAACAAAAACTGGACTTCCGAATTGAGTCAAAAGTGAATTTAATGAAATGTTTGTTTTTAAGGTTTGTATCACAAGATCTAAGTACTAATGATCTTTAGTAACAACAAAGTGTAAATAAACTTGTGCTTGCTTTGACAGCACATACTTGTATAATAGAAATTAAAATTATACAGAGAAGATTAGCATGGACCCTGTGGGAGGATAACATGAAATTTATGAAGCGTTCCATATTTTGAAAGGGAAAAAAGTGTAACTTTACTAAGTGAAACTTGATAAAAGTATGTCAGATAACTTAATTATAGGCAAGGCTTTGGAGAAATGGAATGAAGAGGTTTTTTTTTCCCCCCCTTTTTTTGATAGCATTTTATTTTCTTTTTTAAAAAAAGATTTTATTTATTTATTTTTAGAGAGAGGGGAGGCAGAAAGAGGGAGAGGAGTATCTGTGTATGAGAGAAACATCAATTGGTTGCCTCTTCCTCACCCCCAGCTGGGGGGAGTATCTGTGTATGAGAGAAACATCAATTGGTTGCCTCTTCCTCACCCCCAGCTGGGGACCTGGCCTGCAAGCCAAGCATGTGCCCTGACAAGGAATTAAATTAGTGACCTTTTAGTTTGCAGACTGGCACTCAATCCACAGAGCTACACCAGCCAGGGCAGAGTTTTGTGTTTTTTTAAATGGAGAAGGTTGATCCCATCTGAATATAAATATATTTTCCTGTTTTTCCTTTTAGGGTATTGTCATTGGAACAGGAGAAAATTCTGAATTTGGAGAGGTTTTTAAAATGATGCAAGCAGAAGAAGTGAGTACTTTGTTAATTTGCATTAATTTCAAATCTGACATTCTTTCTTGCAGTAGAGTAAAAGAGAATATTGGTAGATTATGTGCTACTGACAAAAAAATTTTATTCAGAATATCACTCAGTTGTTTATGCTTAAAAGCATTGGAAAGTCTAATTGGAAGGGCTTGAATTGGCATTGTTAATATTCTAAAACATTTTGATACTGATTTTTTATGGGATACAAATACTTATAGCTTATTTATAGGGCTAATTCTTTTAGAAATATTAGATTTATTTTGTTAATTTTAAAGATTATTAAATAGTATATTTGTTCCTCAGAACATGTTTTCTACCAAAATTCCCAACTTTGTATAATTCTAAGTAATGGGGAAAAAGATTACAAAGTAAAATAATCTAGAAGATACTCTTATTTAAGGATTTTTGAAGATTATTTTCTCATTTATTTTCTTATATATAAAGAAGAAGTTGCATCCTATAAATATCATTATTTCCCCTAAATCTCCTAGATTCTCAGATGACCTGCTGAACTCAGTATACATCATGCAGTGTATAAACCATTCTAAGAAGTCTGCCTGTGAAGAGACCTTAGGGAAGGGTGTTAGCAGACCAGAGAGCCAACAGGATAAAAGGACTTGGGTTATATACCTGTTTGTGGATACTGAAAGGAGAAAGATGGGAAAAGTGAGGGGCAGCTGATGGTAATGAAGTCCTGGAGAAACTGATCAGAACAGGTTTTTTTCTCAAAGTGAGGCATAGAAAGCATGGACCTTTTCAGATAAACAGATTTTTTAAAGTGTAAGCCTCAGTTTCCTCAGTGAAGGGGCTAATATGTACCTTAACAGAGAGTTGTGTGTGCCATGGATGTGTTAAGCACCGGCATGGGTCTGTCAAGCACTTAGCATAGTCCCTGGCACCTAGTATATCTTACTAAATTTAGTTAATCATGGTGACAGTCTTCTCTAATTTGTCAAGGCGCCAAAAACCCCTCTGCAGAAGAGCATGGACCTCTTAGGAAAACAACTTTCCTTTTACTCCTTCGGTATAATAGGTAAGAGAAGAGTGAGTATGTATATCTCATATATTTACTTAGATTGTTTTTTTGTTTGGTTGGTTTTAAGTATAAAGGAGGGAATTTACATGCATATATACATACATACATACATACATACATACATACATTTATTTAATTAATGAACTCAATTTTGGCTTTATTACTGCTTTTTTTAAAGTTAGAAAACTAATCTTCAGCTGTTCTTTTCTACAAAGATAAATCAGAACTCTGTTTAATTCGTATAATAAAAGGGCCTATCTATAGACATGTTATTTTTTATCTGCAACAAAATGTGATTATATTGTTTTATGGACTGCTTTTCTTTTTTATTTCGCATATCCTATCATAAACATCTTGCCATTAAGTAGATGCTCATCTAAAACATACATCAGACTTCTATTAGATATTTCTCTAGGTTTTTTGAGTTTTAATAATGTCTGATTCTGTAGTGCAGATATTTATTGTAAACACCTCTCATTTTGTTAGGATAAATTCTTAAAAGTAAAATTATTGGGTCAGATAGTATCCATGTAATTCTAAAATTTTTGTCATGTTTTTAAAGGCTTTTGTTTTGTATTGCCAAATATTACCCTTCATCAGCAGGGAAAAAGTGTCTCTTTCTTAGCATCCTTGCCATCTTGGTTATCATTAACTTTTTTTTAGATGTTTATTTTTTAACATTTTAAAATTACAGTTTACATTTAATAATATTTTATATTAGTTTTGGGTTTATATCATAGTGGTTAGACAATCATATACTTTACAAAATGTTCCCCTGGTATTTATAGTGTTATCATTAACTTACCAGGTGAATAAAAGACTTCTCTTTATTTTATTTCAGAATTCATTATTAGAGTAACCGAACACTTTGTTAAATGTGTTTTGGTGCAGTTTTGTTACCTGCTAATCTATTAAACAATTGTATTAGTTTTGAAATTTCTCCTTTAATTCTTACATGATAATTATTTTAATCATTCTTGCTAGCTTAATGTTTTAAATTAATAATGAATTTTTAAAGCAGCATTTCTACTGTATGTATTCAGTGAGTTTCTTAAATATTAGTATTACTCCATCTGCCTTCATCATAAACATAGAGAGTAGGAAGGTATTTTGTTCCTCTTGTTTAACTGCTTATGTTCTCAAAGATTCCTTCATTTGATTACTGCTACTGAGAAGATTTATAGTAAATTTGATAATTGAAAAGCATTTAGCGAATTAAATCTTCCAGTTTATATTAATGTGGTATCGTGAAGCAACTTCACACTTAGGGAGAAAAGTCTTTTTAACTTTATGATTACTTGGTTTTAATATAATAACATTAGACATTTTTCTTTTTAAGATAGTATATGGAATTAGGGTAAGAGTCAAGATCAAAATCAGGGATTAGTAAGTAGACTTCTCTTGGAAGAGTGGCAGATAGTAAATATTTTTTAGGTCCATAGGCTTAGGTCCATCGAGTCTGTGTTGGGAATACTCAGCTCTGCCATCAGCACAAAAGCAACCATAGCCGATACAAAACAAATGGATGTAGCTATGCCAATAAACTTTACTTATAAAAAACATGCAGGAGTCCCATAGATTGTAGTTTGCTGACCCATGGTATTAATACATGGAATATAATTTCTTTTGTTAGGAAAGTATTTGGGATAGGATCTTAGAAGGTCATGACCTATATCATTGTTTTGTAGTTACAGAAAGATGAAGCAACTTGTTTAAATGTTTATATTGATCTAGAGTCCAATCTTGAAGTCACTTTATTAAAACTGATTATATTGTTTTTTCCTCATAAAACCAGTAGTGTACCCTGTGCACCCTTGTTTTTCAAAGACAAAGGTTAAAGCAGAGAATATAGAATCAGTTGTTTCATTTATGTTAGTTGGCTTTTTTATTTTTAAATGCTATAAAAGTAGTAATTTTTAAATATTAATGCAGTTTTAGATGTCTTAGGTAAGATCGATCCCTCTTTGAGCCAAGCCCTAAGTAATTCTTTGTAGTACAAAATGTGTAATGTCTGGATATTGAGTTATGAGAAGTAAAGTTCCAGGGTTTATTTTTGTAAAGCTGATAATAAATGTAAGACTTACATGTCTTACGTGGCCTTTTTTCTCCCTATTGTATGAAAGTACTGGTGTTGTTTTCTCATGTGGGAGCTCTCAGATACTGTTTGAAGGGATGGGTAGCAGCAGTGGCAACAGAAGGTAAAATGTGTGTGTGTGTGTGTGTGTGTGTGTGTGTGTGCACATGTGCGCATCGCAGCATTAACTTGACTCTCTCTTGTGTAATGGTTTTTTCCAAAATCTGGTAGTCATTTCCTGGTACACTTTTTCTTCAAAATTAAGGAATATTTTGCTGCCCCTCAGCTGGTTATTCTATCACTACTATGCCTAAGTCATTTTATGTAAAAAATAAAAATAACTGTTTGATTCTGTTCCAGGTATCATCATGCTGGTTGGCTGGCTACTAGGAAAAGATATCCTGGAAATGTTTACTATTAGTGTGAGGTGAGTTCTAATGCTTTTTTAAAAAAAATAAATGGAAGTCTCTTGATGTGTTCAATTCTCTGATAGGCATAGTTTATATTCCATTGTTAAGGTTTTATATGAGTACATAGGGTATAATATCTCTACTAAAATAGTTCAGAATTCATATATTGAAATGAACTCTATGAAAATTAAAACCAACATATATGACAGTGGAGAAAACCCATACTAGGTATCTGGTATTATCAACCCATTACTGCACTTTTGAAAATATATTTTCTTGATTATGCTATTACAGTCGTCCCGTTTCTCCCCTCTTTATTCCCCTCTGCCCTGCATACCACCTACTCCCACCCGCATTTCCTCCCTTTACTTCATGTCCATGTGTCATACATATAAGTTCTTTGACTTTACATTTCCTATACTATTCTTTTCTTTCTTTTTCTTTTTAAAAAATGTATTTATTTTAATGGTTGTTCAAGTACAGATTTCTGTCTTTTACTCCCATCCCAGCCCACCCCCATAGTGATCCCCACCTCCCTCCCATTTCCACCCGCCTTAGTTTTTGTCCATGTGTCCTTTATACTTTTCTTGTAAACTCTTTCCCTTTTCCCCCGAAATCCCCTCCCCTCTCACCTCCCCCTGTCTGTTTTCTATCTACCATTTACGTTACTTATTCTCTGTACCTCTCACCCCTCTGTGTCCCACTCCCCCACTGATAACCTTCCATGTGATCTCCATTTCTGTGATTCTGTTCCTATTCCACTTGTTTGCTTTTTTTGGCGGGGGGAGTGGGTAGGAGTTCAGTTGTTAATAGCTGTGAGTTTGTTGTCATTTTACTGTTATCATTTTCTTAGATAAGTCCCTTTAACATTTCATATAATAAGGGTTTGGTGATGGTGAACTCCTTTAACTTGATCTTATCTGGGAAGCACTTTATCTGCCCTTCTTTTCTAAATGATAGCTTTGCTGAATAGAGCAGTCTTGGTTGTAGGTCTTTGCCTTTCATGACTTGGAATACTTCTTTCCAGCCTCTTCTTACCTGTAAGGTTTCTTTTGAGAAATCAGCTGATAGTCTAGTGGGAACTCCTTTGTAGGTAACTCTCTCCTTTTCTCTTGCTGTTTTTAAGATTCTCTCCTTATCTTTAATCTTAGGTAAGGTAATTCTGATGTGCCTTGGTGTGTTCTTCCTTGGGTCCAACTTCTTTGGGAGTCTCTGAGCTTCCTGGAAGTGTATCTTTTTTTTTTTTCTGCCAGATTGGGGAAGTTGTCCTTCATTATTTTCTCAAATAAGTTTTCAATTTCTTGTTCTTCCTCTTCTCCTACTGGCACCCCTATGATTTGGATGTTGGAACATTTAAAGATGTCCTGGAGGTTTCTAAGCCTCTCCTCATTTTTTTGTTTTTGAATTCTTGTTTCTTCATTTTGTTGTGGTAGAATGTTTCTTTCTTCCTTCTGCTCCAAACTGTTAAATTTGAGTCCTGGTTTCTTTCCCATTTTTGTTGGTTCCCTATAGATTTTTCTTTATTTCACATGATGCAACCTTCATTGCTGCCTGGGTCTTTTTTATGCTGTTGAAGTACCCAGTGAATCCTTGGAGCATCCTGATAGCCAGTGTTTTGAACTGTGATCTGATAGTCTGGCTATCTCCTCATTGCTTAGTTGTATTTTTTCTGGAACTCTGATCTGTTTTTTCATTTGGGCAATTTTTTTTTTTTTTTTTGTCTTAGCATGCCTGTTATGTAATAAGGAGTAGAGCCTTAGGTGTTCACCAGGTTGGGGCAACCCACATTGCTGGCTTGTGATGCTGTATGTGGGGGAGGGGCTCAAGAGGGAGCACTGCCATTTCCTTGGCTGTAGGCTGGTTTTCAGTCACTTCCCCCACTATCCACAATCAAATTGGGCCCTTCTGGTGCTGATTCCGTGGTGGGTAGGCTTGTCTACGTTCTAGGACCCTGCGGGTTTCTCCAATAAACCATCCTGTGAGGCTGGGAGTTTCTCCTGCTGCGGCATCAACCCCCACAGGTATTTTCAGTTAGAGGTTTTGAGGCTCTATTTCCCCTCGCTGGCACCCTGCGTTGTGTGCAGTCTCTCTCGCTCCCTGGTTGTTCCTTCTGGTTTATCCACACCAAATATGGGATGCCCAGTCTGCAAGCTGCTGCCTTGCCCACCCAGGTTCTCTAGCTGCTCCCTTGCTGAGTCCTCCCAGCCTGGCTGTCCATCTCTATCCCTTCTACTAGTCTGGATGAATGTTTCTTCTTTAACTCTCTGGTTGTCAGACTTCCATACAGTTTGATTTTCTGGCAGTTCTGGTTGGTTTTTGTTCTTACATTTGTTGTTGTCCTTTTGGTTGTGTGAGGAGGCCTAGTATCTATACCTATGCCTCCATCTTGGCCAGAAGTCCTCCATTACAGCATTTTTCTATGTAAATAGTTTCAGGATCAGTGAAACCAAAAGCTAGCAGCATGCAAAGAGAAAGACCACAATATAGAAACTGAATAATCAATTTTAGTAGGAAAAAAATGAAAAAATTCAAGAAAACAATAAAAAGTAAACAGCATTTTTATTTTCACAGATTTATGTAGAAACTGCATTCGTGATAGATTGCTGTAGAAAACAATATAGAACAAAAGAAAAGGGGTTTTAGAAATTAAGATTACGATTGCTGAAATTAAAATTTTAATTTAAGGGCTATAATGTACAGTTGACGAGGTCTCCTAAAAAATAGAGTAAAAAGTTCAAAACAGAGAATGATACAAGTGTCAAAGAGAATAATTCAGCAACTATCATATCTAATAGGAGTTTCAAAAAGGGGTAAGAAGAAATTATATAAGAAATAATACATTAATATTTTCTCAATCTGAAGTGAGACATGAATCTTTACACTTTGAATGGGTTCTCCGATCGCCAAGCAGGATTAAGAAAACTCCAACCTAGATACATCCTTGTGAAACTAAAGAAAAATAAAGTCATCTACAAAGGAAGGCTAACTAGATGAGTATTGGACTTCTAATTAGCAACTGCAGTTCCCATCATGAGGTGTTTTCAGGTTCAGCTAAACATTTCAACTCACAGACTGTCATAGGTCTCATCTGGTACCTGTGCCCTGAATGCAGCAGGGCAGCCTCAGGCATCCCTCTGCTGAGAGAGCCCTTGCAACAGTTTATGCAGCAGTTCATCTTCAGTACAGGGAGTTGAGATGACCTGTGAGTGCAGTGAACTACCTAGGGCTAAAATGCTTCATTTTCTGCAGGAGCCAGCATCTCTGGAAACTTACACTTTCTAGGGTGCCTGCAAGAAACATGTCTTATTAGTCATGTGTCACTACACTCAGGAATCCCAAAGCTATGGCTTCCTGTAAAATAGTTATAGTTCTTCGAGTCTATAGACAGTTCATCAATCAGGAGATCCCTTTATCATAAGCAGTGTTGCTCTAGCATTATAATTGACATTCGACCTTTATTGGATTACTGGGGGAACAGAGTTAGAGATTTAGTCAACTACAGAAGAGGAAAAGGATTTTATTAATCCTTCATCCATAGCAACATTGGATTATATTAGAAGATTTAGGGGCAGTACTATGTTAGTATGGGAGCAGATGATTTTAAGTCCATAAACCAAAGCCTGGCTAAAGTATCAGTACAGTTCTTTACAAACAGATAGGTAATTAGAAAATTTATCCCATGCTTATCCTTGCATGAATTCAAGCAAAACAAGGGTGGAAGAAATGGAAATAATGATGCAAGTAAGAGTGGAGCTCACCTTGGCCTCTAAGGAAAATAAATGTAGGAAGTAATAATTCAAGAATTAGAACAAAAGTCAGTGGAGCAGCAAAAATGAATGGATTACAAGGAATACATAGGATGAATAAGAAGTTAAAAGATAATTGTGATATGGTGAAGGAGTCCTTTTTTTTCCAAAGTGGCAGAAATTGAATTTGAAAATCTTGGCTTAAGTCTGTATTAAAAAAGCCTTGGTGTAAATACAAATTAAATTTAAAATAGGGCATGAATTTGAAATATTAACTGTTGGCATATTATCTACTTGACTCATTTGGAACTTCCTGGATGTATTTTTTGAGCAGTTTTAAATATTTGTGAGTTGGCAAATAGTGATTGCTATTTTTACTCCAGTTCTTCCAAAACACAAACATTTTAAAAAATTTTAATTGAATAAAAGTCTATTTTGCAATTACCATATAGGTTCATACATCTGAGATGTGTTATATATATAGGATTTTAGTGGCCATATTTTACCTATGTCTTAAAACATTCTGTTATTTCTTTATCCTAGCAATTATTTTAAGTTATTTCCAGCTGTGCTAAAAATGAGTGAAACATTAATAAGCAAGCAGAATAATGATGGGATTGCTTATAAGTTGATGTAATAATAAATAAAGGATAGTCTGTTATCCTTTGATTTGCTTATTATGATGTCCAAAGTATTACATCATCTGTAAGACAGTATAAAAGGAGCCCAAAGATACAGTCTTTTGTACTTTTTTCCCCATTTATTAAACAAAGTTAAGAATTCAGCATATTTTATTTTCTTACCATAATTGCAAAGCATAATTGACAGGATTATTTTCACAATTATTAAATAAACCAGAAGATAAATGCATGGAGACAACAACTGTAGGCTCTAATGATGAGGTTGAAATTGAACCATATAAAGTGAAATTTCAACACTGAGTCCTTAGGTGTAGCTAATCTAGATCTTCTCAAACTTCTGAACTAATGAGTGAATAGTTTATTTTTAAGAAAAAAAGTAAGGACAGCTATTCTCTTCCTGTTAGTCATTATACAACAAGGAATTCATCATGCAGTGTTTTCCAGCAAGAACCCGGACCACCCCTTTTTGCTAAAAGGATAAGGATGTATGACAGTATCCTTTCATCTTTTATATTTATTTACCAACATTTGGGAGGAATGTTCAAGGCTGGTATGAATGTAAAGGCAATAAAAAAGAAATAGAAATAAAATACTTCATTTGATTCACCATTGTAGTTAGTGTTTATAAATGTAAAAATGAAAATGTTTAGCAGTTAATGTTACAAAGAAGATGACTACCTCTCTTCAACAAAGTTATGAACCATCGGCATTTTCAGAAGTGTTGCATTTGAAGAAATAAATGCAAACAGAGGAAACAGTTGATTGATAAGCCTATCACCTGTTAGAAATATTTTTGATTTTGAAATCACTACTTATAAGGATACTTTCCAGGGTCATTCATGACAGCTAATGAGCAATTAGTGGCATCCAAAGGAGATTTCTCACTTCAGATACATATATACTTTGAAATTGAGGGGCATAGTTAAAATACAAGTGAAAATTTTAAGTTCACTTTATTCCTCTGCAATCAACTATAAAATGGCTTAACTATAAAAGCATGACAAGGTCCATTGGATCTAGATTGTAAACGATGATGCCTGGTGTTCCTGATACAGTGAGGGTTAATGAAAGCATAAGGTTGTCTTTGAACTTAGAGTAGTTCAGAAGTGAGAAGGAAGTATTAATGATAGCACATATTTCTTGACTCTTTAATGAACTCTGTTTAGGCAGTAATATCATAAATGTTATGTATTGGCTTTCAATTTTAGAATCAACCTATAAATAAACCTGAAAAAGTTAAATATATCATAGAACAGAATGCTAATAATATGAAGTTAGATCATGCAAAAAAAGTATGTATAGAAATTGGGAAGTAGAAACATGAGGGGAACATTGTTAGAATGAAGAATAGAAATGTTTATGCCCTTATCTATAGTGGAGTCAAGAGATAATACTTGAAATGGGATAAGAATATAAATTTAATTCTCTTTTATGTCACAAGGGAAACAATGAAATAATCCGTTTTTTATGATAAAATACACATACCCTAAAATGTACTATTTAAAAATTACATACAATGCAGTTAACTATATTCAGATTTATAACCATCACCACTGTCTAGTGTCAGAACTTTTTCATCACACCCAAAGAAAAGCCTGCGTTCATTGAGCAATCAGTCCTCCTTCTTCTGTCTCTCTAGTTCTTGGCAACCACTGAACTCGTCTGTGGCTCTGTGGTTTGCTGATTTCTTGATATTTCATATAAATAGAGTCGTGTCCTTTTGTGTGTCTGCATTCTTTGATTTAATGTCATGTTTTTGTTTTTTTTAATATTGTTGGCACTATTACAGACATTCTCATTTTCCTCCCTTTGGCCAGCTCCACCAACCCTTCTCCCCCTCCACGCTCCATGGCCATCATCACACTAATGTCCGTGTCTGTGGTTTATGCATATTTGTTCTTTGGCTAATCCCTTCACCTTCCATCCAGTACCCCTTATGTATGCTATGAAACTTTTATAAATTTATGAATCCAATTTGTTGAATTTCTCATTTGCATTTTATTATTGAGGAAGTAAAATACTGATTAACAGCTATATGGGTTGATATTTAGATACCCTTAAAATATTCTAGAAAATGTATTATGTAAATTTATTATATAAAGCTAATACTGAGTAGCTTTGAAGAAATCAATTCTAAAGGTTTTCAGGGTTCATCCATTTTGAGTATATATCAGTACTTCATTCCTTTTTATGACTGCATAATACTTCATTGTGTGGATGAGCAATATTTCATTGTATGGCTATACCACAATTTCCCATTTATCAGTTGATGGGTGTTTGGCCTGTTTCCAAGCTTTCTGGCTGTTGTGTATAGTGCTGCTGTGAGCATTCATGTACAGGTTTTGTCTGAACATCTGTTACTGTCATCTGTCTCTGTAGATGAGGAAACTTAAACTGCAGAGATGGAGTAATAATAGTTCAGGGTCACACAGGTAAAAATCAGTGGAGCTAGCAGTACAACTAAGCACTTTGATGTCAGAACCTATATTATTTACTGCTTAACCTGAAAGTTAGTAGATGTCCAGTGCATGTTAACTTCCCCTTCCTTGTCACGCCACTTTTGGTGTTGATGGTATTAATTTTGCAGTTATTTTTAACTGCTATTTTAAGTAACAGTTGAAATTATTGCTGTGGTTACCATGTAACTTAAACTTCAATACATTGGTTGCAGTTTGGCTGTAGCAGCAATTCCTGAAGGTCTTCCCATTGTGGTCACAGTGACTCTGGCCCTTGGTGTTATGCGAATGGTGAAGAAAAGGGCCATTGTGAAAAAACTGCCTATAGTTGAAACTCTGGGTAAGCCTGTGGAAAGAGCCTACTTATACAAAGATGTGTTACGCTAATAGTGAATTATCTTTGAATCTTATAATTTTTGTCTTAATAATTTTGCTTAGTGATGTTTGGCTTGTGGCAATGTGACTCTGATTTTAACAACCAAAAAAGGTAATTAAAAATGCATACCATTCTGGACAGGGGACTCAGAGAACTCTTTTTGTATCACGGAGTGTTCTAATTCTTAAAATGTTTAAAAAGTCTATATAACAAATGAAACTTTAATAGAATTCTTTTGACAACTCAAGAAAGATAATTGATAATTATAGATCCTGAAATGTCATACGTAAGTAGAATTTGCTGATAAGAATGATAAATATACAATAGTTACATTGCTATAATAAAACTTCATATGTGATACAAAAATTACGTTAACTATGTATGCTATGAAACTTAATTTTTTTAAATTTAGGAATCCAAAATTGTTGGATTTAGTTTTTCATTTGCATTTTATTATTGAGAAAGTAAAATACCTTAAAATACTGATTAAAAAATTTATATGGATTTATACTTAGGCACCCTTAAAACTTTCTAGAAATGTATTATATAAAGCTAATATCAAGTTGCTTTGAAGAGATCAATTGTAAATAAGTAAGAAAAAGCCAGCATGTATGCATATCTAATTTTTAATTTTAATTGCATAAACTACCTTATGATAAAGCAAACATTATGAGAGTCAGCAATTTAAAATTATCAGTGAGCTTGATTTGTATAAAATTTAGAGAAGCAAGGCAGGCTTCTACAGGACAATCTGATTTGTTTTCAGTGTGAACTTGTATTTTTCACTGACTTTTAGTGACATATAATGATTTATTCTTTAGGCTGCTGTAATGTCATTTGCTCAGATAAAACTGGAACGCTGACGAAGAATGAAATGACTGTTACTCACATATTTACTTCAGATGGTTTGCATGCTGAGGTACTCTATAGATTGATTTAACAGCAGTATTTCTTTGTTAAGACACTTGGTGTTTAACATTATTAACTATTCCCGAGACTTACCTTTAAAATGACTATAACATTAGTTAGCAGCAGAGCTTTCTCTTTCCACAGTGATTCTACCAAGTCTTGTTTTACTCCAGTTATACAGTCCTAACTTTGAATTCTGCTTGATACTTTTTTCTTTTTCTAAGATTTTATTTATTTTTAGAGAGAGAAAAGTAAGGGGAAAGGAGAGGGAGAAACATCAATGTGAGAGAGAAAAATATGGATCTGTGAGGTGCCTCCCATGTCAGGGAATTTTACCTGCAACCTGAGTAGGTGCCCTGATCCAGACCCTTAGCCTTTTGGTGCATGGGACAGCATTCCAACCAACTGAGCCAGGGCAAGGCAAGCCCATAATTTTACGAAGGTCTGTCTGGAAAAAGTCCAGCCATTGGTAATATAACGAGATTGGTTTGTGTGAGATTGGTGTAACCTTGCAGCCAAGGAGAGTGAACTGGAATGTGCGTGCATGAACAATGCCGTTCACCTACCAGTCAGTGGGGGTAGTAGACACCACAGAGGGAGCACGTATACTCTGTGGCTGTTGCGTTCAAAGTGAGTGAGCAGAGCAATGAAACTGCATCAAAATTTGCATTAAACCTGAACATTCCTCTGGGGGAACTATTTGGATGATTTAAAAAGCTTTTGGGGACAATGCAATGAGGGCAGCATGAATAAAAACATGGCACAAATGCTTCACAGATGGTCAAGAATCTGTTGAAAGTGATCCACATTCTGAGAATGTTCAGTGTGTCTGGGCTACAATCAGCAAAGATCCACAGCTGACAGTGTGAGAACTAGAAGCCAATCTGGGAATTCCAAAAACTACCCTGTCTGAGATTTTGACACGGGATCTTGGCATGAAACCTGTTGCGGTAACATTTGTTCCCCAGCTTCTGCTACCAGAGCAGAAGAAACATCGTGCTACCATTGCTAATAATTTGAATCAAACTGTTGCCAATGAACCAGATTTCCTCTGGGTCATAACAGGAGATGAATCACGGGTCTATGGCTATGACCTGGAAACGAAGACCCAGTTGTCTCAATGGAAATTGCCTGGATCTCCACACCCAAAGAAGGTGTGGTAAAGTCAGAAAAAGATCAAGACCGTGTTGACTGTGTTTTTGATTGGGAAGGTGTTATCTGACGCAAGTACGCCCCTCTAGGCTAAACAATAAGGAGCACTACCTCAATGTTCTTCATTGGTTGAGAGATGTAATAGGAGGCGAAAGGCTGCAACCATGTGCAGCTGGTGATCGGCAGCTTTGTCACGACAACATGCCCTTTCAGGCATCGCGTCTTATGCAGAGGATTTTGGCGAAACATCAAATTGCCCAGGTGACTCAGCCCCCCAAAAATCATATTTGGCACCCTGTGACGTTTGGCTTTTCCCAAAACTAAAATCACCTTTGAAAGGGAAGAGATTTCAGACCATAGATGAGATTCAGGAAAATACATGATGAGGCAGTTCATGGCAATGCCAAAAAACGATTTTGCAGAATGTTTTGAACAGTGGAAGAGACACTGGGAGAACTGTATGAGATTCCAAGATTCCTGCTTTGAAGGGGACTGAGGTGTCATTGTCCTCTATACAGTGTTTCTTTTATCTTGGATCTTCTTCAGTAAATGTCTCTATTTTTCACATTCCATGGATGGATACTTTCTGGACAGACCTTGTAAATGTAAGGCATTAACCATTTGTTAATTTCTCTCTTAATTGTCTTATTTTTATTGTAAATTTAATTTTTGTTTGGCTTGGTTTGTTCTAGCCATATGGGATAAGTATCTGGCTTGTCTCAACCTCTGATTATTAAGACTGGTTTGCAATATGCTGTTAAAGTAGCTTGTAATTGCTGGGATAAATCACTTACTGTCTCCGAGCCTGCATATTTGCAAAAACAATTCTGCTTTTGTCTGTATTACAGGCTTGTCATGAATGTTAGACGTGGCAGTGGATTTGGACTTTTTGCATATTGTATTATATTAACATAATGTTTTATAAATTTAAGCTCACTTATGTATAGAAATTTTCATGGTTTATAGGTATTCTATAGTATATTATAAAGTAGGTATATTATATATAGTAGGTATATTATACAGTATATTATATAGTAGGTAGAAAACAAAAGATTATATTATGTTAATAATTATATTATTTCTACTTGTGATATACTATACACTATTGTAATTATTAACTATAATTAATTACCAGTATAATTAAAGTTTTATCACTATGGTAAAAATTAGAATTTATATTTCTTTAACTATTAAATATTCTCTTACACAAATTTCACTGCCTACATATTCATGCTAGCAGTGTCATGATACATAAAATGAAATGAATACAACTCATCATAGATTTTGGTTTTCATAAGTATTGTCACTATTTATTGGTTATGTTATTAGCCCTACTTTATTTCTTAGGTTACTGGAGTTGGCTACAATCCATTTGGAGAAGTAATTGTTGATGGTGATGTCGTTCATGGATTTTATAACTCAGCTGTTAGCAGGATTGTTGAGGTAAGTGCTTTATTATCTGAGAAGGTACCATTCTTCATAATGACTTAGGACACAGTGAGGAGTTCACAGTTTATGTGTATTTCTCTTAGGCGGGCTGTGTGTGCAATGACGCTGTGATTAGAAACAACACTCTAATGGGAAAGCCAACAGAAGGAGCCTTAATTGCTCTGGCAATGAAGGTATGTGCCTAATCTTTCTTCTTCAGCATACACAACATCACCCTTAACAAGAGAGTGTGAGTCCATCAGTTTCAGTTTTACTGGTTTTCGGTATGTTGTTTTTGCTGCCTTTTGGGAATCAGTTTTAGTCTTCCTGGAAATATAGAGCACAAAGCTTTTTCAGTGTCACTTTATCTCTTATATGCAAGAAACAAAGTGATGACCAGTAATGAAAGAACAAATGTTTCTGTCTTCCATAATCATTAGAGTCTTGTATGAAAAATGTTATGTGTGTTATTGCTGATAAATACTTTCAAATGAGTAAAAGGCAACATTCTATTATTTCCATGTGAAGATATTAAGGACATCCTGAGAAACCAGCTTTTCTTTTTTCAGTCTTCTATTTTTCTTCATTATCAATTTATTAAAATGAGTCTAGAGTTAGGATTTGTGTTAGGGAGGTGGAGTGCTCTTCTCAGTAACCCCTTTATGTGTTTCAGCTGATCCATTCTCCTAAGTCCTACATTTGATTAGATAAGAAACCTGAAAGTCTGATCTGTCACTCCCAAACAAAAATAAAACTCCTACCTTTTAGAGGGAGTGGAAGGGAGAAAGAAAGAGAGGTAGATAATAATATTTATGGGTTGCCTCTCACTTGCCCCCTGGCCGGCAACCCAGGCTTGTGCCCTGTCTGGGAATCGAACTGGTGACCTTTTAGTTCTTAGGCCAGCGCTCAATCTGCTGAGCCACACCAGGCAAAGCTAAAATTCTTACTTCTCTTAGAAGTCTTAGAAAACTTTTAGACTTTTGTGAAACAGAACGTGCCTCTAAATGAAGTTGCTTGCATTGAGATCCAATATAGAAGTGTTGGTTATTATAACACTTAATTTAAAAAATAAAATGGATATTTTTAGAATATGTTTTCTTAACAGACAGGGACATTTTATCATTTATTCTTTGTTTAGCTAAAATAGCATACATAGTGCAGCTTTTTAAAAGTTATTCAAAAGTTGAATTTGTTCATAAGTATTACTGTATTATATATAACAGGATATTCAAAAGTTGAATATGTTGACAGGATTTACTCTGTTAAATTTAACTTAATCTCTTTGAGAGATAAGGAATGTGAAACCCATTTTTTTATGTGTGGGGGCTTCACATTTTAGGTAGGACTCTAACAAGGCAGACCAAGGTAGTAGAGAGTTAAGTCTTAAACACTGAGCTACACATAAGAAGAGTGCAAATTCAGAGTTGGGATCTGGGCTTTGAAGGATATAAAGGGTTTATTATTTTATTTTTATTTTTTAAAAGACTTTATTTATTTTTAGACAGAGGGAAAGGGAGGGAGAAAGAGGAAGAGAAACATCTATGTGAGAGAGAAACACCAGCTGGCTGCCTCTTGCACATGTCCCAACAGGGCATCAGGCCCGCAACCCAGGCATGTGCCCTTACCTGAGATTGAATAGGCGACCTTTTGCTTTGCGGGTGACACACACACAGCTGAGTCACACCAGTCAGGGTGATAGGAAGGGTTTTGATAGTAGGCAAACCAGGGAAAGAGTAGTAATAAGAACATAAGGGAATACATAAGCCTAGAATGGATAGTGGCTTTTGAATTGATCAACGTGGATAAAGTGGAAGGAGTTTGCATAGCCCAGAGGACTGCTAAATAGACTGTGTGGTTAGTTTCTGGAGGACCTTTGAAAACAAGGAAGAAGAGTCTCAACATGTTTCAGTCAACAACAAGAAGTCAACAAAAGTAATGAACTAGATTTTTGAGTAGTATAAAAAGTATTTTTGAACCCTGGCTGGTGTAGCTCAGTGGATTGAGTGCAAACCAGCAAACCAGAGGATCACAGTTTGATTCCCAGTCAGGGCACATGCCTGGGCTGCAGGCCAGTTCCCAGCAGGGGACACACGAGAGGCAACCATGCATTGATATTTCTCTCCCTCTCTCCTTACCTTCCCCTCTAAAGATAAATAAATAAAATCTTTTTAAAAAAAGGAAAAAAAGTTTTTGAATATTCGGAGGAAAATGCAACAGGGTATATTGGGAGGGTGAATAGCTACATGACATTTGTGGTAATCAGAGTATCTAGTGGTAGGGTGAGAGTGTGAGGGAGTAGAATGGTAGCAACAGCCAAGTTAAAGCTGAATCCCTAAGAAACGAATTGAATTTAAATTTCTATTCACTATAAAAGTAAATACTCAGTACGTGTTGGGTAGCTTTGTCTAGTTGTATCCTGCTTCTGTTCAGAATTTGAGTCAGGAGAGGTTTTAATATAATCTGAGTTGAAAACTTAGTGTGTACGTAGCCCAGGTAGCACGCCTCAGAGTGTATCTAAACACCCAGACTTTCATGGTGAATATGTATGCTGCTATTCAGAGATAGGTGGTATATATAGATAGGGTATGGCTGTTCTGTTGCTGTTATTTGAAAAATAATCCAGGGTATCTTGACCTAGCCTAGCTGTAAGTTCTGACCCTTGTTTTTTGTTAAAGGAAGAAATAGTCACATGTTGGTGAGTTAACTCTCTTTTTGTGCCATATAGATGGGTCTTGATGGACTTCAACAGGACTATATCAGAAAAGCTGAATATCCTTTTAGCTCTGAGCAAAAGTGGATGGCTGTTAAGTGTGTACACCGAACACAGCAGGTATCCTTCCATTTAAAGAATACTAATCGTGTTAACATAGGTGACTATTTTCATTTATTGTCTGTCCACCTTTGGAGTTATACAGTCATTGAGCATAACAAAGATCTATTGCTTTAAAGTGTGCATAATTCATAGTAGATTCATCCCTTGTTATTCTCACATTCTCTTTGACTTCATGCATAGATATATCCAATTATGCTGTGTGAGCAAACAACTTAAATGAGGTGGAGCCTGATCTCAGTTTCTTGGAGTTTGTGACAGATTCTTTCAACCTGTATTTCGTCCTTGATGACAGATTATTACAGGTTTCTGCTGACTATTGTCTGTGTTCTTTTCACTGAAAGAATGTCTTATCTTCAAAACCAACAAAATCACATTGCTTTGTGTATTACATGTGTATATTTCATATTAGTTGATCCAGCTTGCAAAGTGGTAAAATGACATGCACTGATATTTCAGGCCACTACTACTTTGTGTTTGGGTGCTTTAGAAATTTTTACAATTTTTACAAAGTGTAATAAGAGTTCTTAGTTATCTCCAATGTACAGTCACATCATTCATAGTTGCTTTTTACAACTTGATGCTTAAACTTACTTTGCCCTCAAAAAATATGTATTTGTTATTTTTACATTTCTTTTTTAGGAATTAATAGTTAGTTAGTATTTTCACCTGTAAGCAAATATTTTGAAACCAATTACACCTTGTAACATGAAACTTTCAAAAATTGCATCTGAATAATAAAATTTTCAGATGATGTCCCTTGGCCATCAGTTATATAGCAAGAATACATATGTGAGTTTATTTGGAAGATCTCTTTTTTAACATTTTGCAGACTGTCACACTGTACTTCAAGATGCTGTGGCTCATGCAGTGTAATGATTTGACTTCAGTGGTTTTTAATCTAGCCTCATCCAAGTTATACACTGAAAGTTGTACTTTAAATCATCCCAGTTGTGAAAGTGGCAGGATATGAATCTGTGTGGTCATTCTTCCCATACAAAGTTTTTTTTACAAAACAGAATCAACCAGGGTAACTAATAAAACCCAAACCCACTGATTTGACTCAGGATCTACACGAGGTCAGCCTGGCACAGATAAGGGAAAGTTATCACTTTAAAAACAACCTTAGTGGCTCTCAAATAGTTTGTCTTTAGAGGACTTTCATTTGAACTTGACAATATACATTTCTCTCTATTCTTTTTCTGGAATCTGCATAAACAACAACCAATGGATAAAAGATACAAATGTAAAATGAGGAAGTATAGGAAAGACTCAGGGTGACCAGGTATCTTTGAAGGCAGAGACTAAGGTGTAAGGCTAAAAATGAGATCAGATTGAAATTCTGAGTAAGGAACCAGTAGAACTCCTCCAGGTACCATTTCTATATTTTGAGGTTATACCTTTAACCCAGTAGAATATCAGAAATCTCATCTAGGGGACAAGACTAGGCGGTAGAATGAAATTGGTTTAAGATTGTGGAAAAGGAGAGATTAAGGGGTAGCCATTGATTGTCCTGAAGGGCAAGCCCCCAGGCCCCAACTGTACTTCCCTAGAATGCCTGCAGGCATCTCCATTCTAAATCGGGAGGTGGGATTCCAACACTGCAGAGTAATCCTAACTAAACTCTGTTCATTGGTGGAATTTATCTAATCTTGGGCTTTATCTAGTCAGCCTACAGCCTCAGGTTGGTAAACTGCCATTCAGTGCCCTCAGAGTTTTTAGACCTTTCATCAATTCAGTCATAAATGTAAGTGGGCGGTCTGGGACTGCTAGATTTTTGGGGAAAGTCTTCATTTTAAAAGACACAGACCAAACCAGCAGAGAAAGAGGTCTTAGAGAATCAAAGATAATGCCAGATGCTTAAGTAAATTTCCCAAGACCATAAAAATGACAACAAAATGCTTTAAATAGAAAGTCTTTCAAATAAAGTCAAGGAATCTATCAGAAAATAGAACAAAAAGTCAAAGAGGTGAACAAAATAAAGGATAAGGTACAAAAATTAGAATATAAATATAGGAGATCCAACATTCATCTGATAGTGGTAACAGGAAGAAAGTACAGAAAATGGAAAGATTTTAACAAATAGCACAAGAAAATTTTTCAAAGGAAGGGCTTTGAATAAAATTGTCCGTCAGTTAGGGAGGAGATTGTACACGCAGGAGAACATCCTGAGGCTGAAAATCTTCCCTTCGTAGGCTGAGGGCTGTGAAAGACCTAAGAAGGAGACTGGTCATTACAGTCTCATAATTAATGGAGTTTTTAAAGGGAATCTTACATAGGAATGTCTTGGGCAGCTGGAAGACAAAATGACAGGTGCCAAAGAATTATATAGGGTAAAGGAGAGGATAGTTGTGGGTACTAGCATGTGAGTGCCTCCAGGTACAAGAAATTATTTTGCGTGCTTGCCCAGGCCAGCGCAACAGCCCGTTGTTACAGCAACTAGCACGCAGTGGGAGGTGGAGGGAAGGTTCCTGGTTTATGTCAGAACGAACATTGGTTATGGTCAGTATGTCTCTAAGTGGGGTTTGGAGAAAGCAATCTCCCCTTTCTGGCCCAGGTCCACCTCATGGGTCAGGCAAAAAATCACATCTTGGAAGCCTCTCCTCCTGATTCTGGGGGGAAAAAAAAATCAATCAAATTTGAGGTTCTTAGTGTGAATTCTAAATGCTTCCAGAGGTTTTGGGGTGGGTGGGAGGCCAGGCGAGGGGGAGATCACATATATAAAGGTTTAGGAATTTAAGTTGCTTCTTTGGACTTCAAATGACAACATTGGATAGTGGAGGCTGGAAGATGAAGAAAGCATTCAAATTGAGAGGAAATTTGTTCCTAAATGAATAAAAAATGTGGGGATGGAATAAAATGGATATGCCACACATCTTTTCTTGGAAAGTTATTGATGGATATGTGAGCCCAGGGTGAGACAATAAACTAAAGAAAAGGAAGACATAGCACACAGTGAGTTCTAACCAGGACAGGGGTGGAAAGAATCTCCAGGATAGAGGGGAGGGGAAGTTCAAGTATGCCAGTCGTGCAGCAGGCCTAGCAACCAGGTTAGAGAAGGGCAGAGAATGCGACCCAAGGAGGATCTTCAGTAATACTTTGGGAGTAATAGTTTACCTGCTCACTCGATCAGGTGAAAAGTGTCATTTAGCAGGGCTTATAATTATGTGGAAGAATTCCAGAATAATAAGGATAAAGAAAACCAAGCAAATAAAAAAGGGGGCAGTTACTAATTTTCTAAAAGATGAAGCTTAAACAGGAAAATAAATATATTTGATTTATATACACCATGAAAACATCATCATGCCTTCCTGCTGCCTCCCTACCCTCTAATATCTGCTCACTAGTTATCTGGGGACTCAGGCAGATGGGAGCTCCGTCTCAGTGTGATCATACACTGTAATAAGAGGTAGAGGAAGAACATGTTATGCTCTGGTTCCTAAATTTCCATTTGGAAATGACACAAGTACTGCCCATATTTATTGGGCAAAAAAGTCACACCTGACTTCCAAGTGGGAGGTTGGGGACAAGGAAACACATTCCTACTATGGGCCACATGGAGAACTGGGATGTGTATGAACTGTTCTAGTGACTAGCACTTCATCCAACAGTGAGGAGTCGTAAAGTAGACAGAGTACTGACAAATTTTGCTTTAATTATATTATAATGGTATGGAGAGGAGGAATAGGTAGTGGGGTGGTCAGACTGTCACCTTTCACAACAGACAGTGTATAAAATTGATAAGCAAAAGAGTAACAGTACAACATATTTAAAAACATGGAGATAAATACCAAGGGAAACATGTGTACGTATATAAAGTTTAAAATTGGCTTGCCTTTTGGGGGTATGACTAGAGGTGAGAAGGTTTGGGCAGGGGACTGTGGTTTTTCATTGTAATATTTTGTATATTACTTTACTATGATAAAAAATAGGAAATCTGATAAGAATCAATTATAAGGTGGTTGTGAGAATTAAATGGAATCATACACACACACACACACACATACACATACATACATACATATAATAACAGCCAATAGAAGGCCTGAACCATTGCTTGGGCTGATGTAATTAGATCTCTTTCCTATTAAGTTGTGAGCTTCTCTTCAAATCTCAGAGTGCTCCATCTGGGGTGTAGTGTAGCACTGTCTTCAGTGTGTGGGTGTGAGGGTAGAGAGTAGATGCCTTTTTTGATGCAGGATGCAGAAAATCCCCAGATAGGAGCTTTTAATCTTCAGAGTTCAAGTGCCACTCCAAGCATTAGTCTTGAGTAACTTCCCTGAGGATTATGAGAAATGAATGCCACTGGCTTTTGGATTCCAATGGCAGATATGTACAAGTTGAAATTAATTTGAACTTATTTGCTATGCTTTTTCTTAGGATGGACCAGAGATTTGTTTTATGAAGGGTGCTTATGAACAGGTGATTAAGTATTGTACTACGTACCACAGCAAAGGGCAGACTTTGACACTCACCCAGCAGCAGAGAGATCTGTACCAACAAGAGAAGGCACAAATGGGCTCAGCAGGGCTCAGAGGTAAGGTTGCTTCAGCCTAGTCCCCAAGGTTGGAAAGGTAATGCTGTCCGTTAACTGCAGATGAATTCATGCTTCACATCTGAGCTGTCCAGCTTTGGTCCAGGCTTTGTAGAACCCCACTATTTCTGAAGTGTTATGTTTTAACTGGCACCTAAAACCTGGAAAAATTGGAATATAGCAGTATATGCAATCTCTAGTTCTTAGAGACCTGCGGTGATCTCTGTGAAGATGACAAATTGTTTATCTTACAAGAAGGGAGATGGAGGTCAAATGATGCCACTCCTTCCTTCCTTATTTCATTACTTTGTCTTATTTGTTAATAGATCTAAAATACTTTCTAAAATATTCAAGTCTTAAGCCTCTAACTTGGCATTTAAGCTCAGGTGATTGCTTACTTATTCCTCATCTGTTTCCTTCCCTTGGCATTTACCAGAGGTAAAGGAATGCCCAGATCCTGCTGCTGTTTCTGTTCCTGACCAAACGTGACTGACAGAGCGAGAGGGTCTGCTGTGCACACACATCAGGCCGCTTCTCTTAGGGGCGTCATGTGTAGGATCCAAGAGTCCGGGTTTGGGGCCGTACTTGGTTTTTACCTTCTGAATAGTCATCTGGCTTATGGGATACACACACGTGCACACACACTCTCTCTCTCTCTTATGTGGTCTCTCTCAAGGAAACTGGAAGAGTTGGCTTAATTTTATAACTTTTTACAAAATGGAAGCCAAGCACTACAATTCCTGGGATGGGGAGCAAGTTATGTAAAAAAGCTTCCTACTCATGGTTCACTTAAGCAAGGGCTTTCTCTCTGTATAAAACATTTGTATAGATTTATAGACTTTCTGATTAACAGGTTTAGAGAGGTATTTTGTGGCTTTACTTGAGGGCACAGTTTTGTTATTCTTAGCTCACACACAGCAAGAGGGTTTCAGAGTTGGCTTGGATATAGAGACCTTGAAGAAATCCTAAAGGTCTAGCATGTGCTTCTTGTTTTCCTTAATTTCTAGAGTAGGGATTTCATGATATATTTTTAAAAATTCTCTTTTCATCTAGAGGAATGTGGAGGTTTGCGTATGTGTGGTTTGGCGTTAGAATATTGTGCAATAGACCAGAGTTGGTAGAGGAGAGTCTTTGTTTCACAGGGCTTTGGAAAACGTTCTGGTCATTTGTCTCTTCTTATGATTCCTACTTCCTCTGCTTGTGCTCCATTTTCCTTTTCCCTCTGAAATTACTGTAATGAAGAAGAGAAAGACTCTAAATTTAATTTGATATGTACTTAGTGTTGCATCTTATAAAAAGATTTTTAAAGTACATATGGTTTGAAATTTTGAAATTACTTGAAAAACAATATGTTTGTCTTTATGTTTTAGTTAGAGACCCTCCGCATGAAAAAAGTATAAACAGTTCTTAACCATGTCCCAAACAGTAGCAGTAGATCTGCATTTGTTCTAAAGAAGCAAGCAAATAAATATAGGATAGTAACCTCTAGGCTAATACCACCCCTCCATTGAGAGTTCAAGTGCTGATCACCGTTTGTTAGGATTTGCTGACACAAACTGGTATTGTCCTTTTCTGTTACTATCTGCCTCTATCCCAAAACAGCAGGGACTGTCAAGGTGAAGTCATATACCTAACTGTTGATGTAGATGTGTGGCCCATCTACTGTACATAATAGTTAGGTACAAGGTCCGTCTGGCAAAAGTCCAGCCATTGTTAATGTAACAAGAATGGTTTGTGCCACATCAGTGTAACCTGGCAGCCAAGGACAGTGGACTGAGATGTGTATGCGTGAACAGTGATGACGTCACTGCACTACTCAGTGGGGGTGATAGATGCCATTGAGTGAGTGTGTGTACTGTGGCCATCACATTCAAAGTGAGTGAGTATAACAACAAATCTGCATTAAAGTTTGAATTAAGCTTGAACATTTCTCCACGGAAACTATTTGGATGATTCAGAAGGATTTCGGGGATGATGCAATGAGTTCAGTGCAAATAAAAGTGTGGCACAAACACTTCAAAGATGATCGAGAATCTGTGGAAAGTGATCCACATTCTGGAAGGCCTGCAACAAGCAGAACAGCTGAGAATGTTGAACGTGTATGGGCTGCAATCAACAAAGATCGATGACTGACAGTGTGAGAACCAGAAGCTGATCTGGAGATTCCAAAAACTGCTGTGTCTGAGATTTTCACACAGGATCTTGGCATGGAGTATGTCGTGGCAAAATGTGCTCCACAGCTTCTGGTATCAGGCTGCATTTGGGAGAGAACTGTGTGAGGTCCCAAGGTGCCTAATTTGAAGGGGACTGAGATGTCCTTGTCCTATAGATGGTTTCTTGTATCTTGTATCCTCTTCAATAAATGTCTCTCTTCATAGTACGTGGCTGGGTACTTTCTGGAAGGACTGCATATATGACTCTCAACACTGGAAAAAGGGAAGTTTTTGATTCTAACCTAGGTTTTCCAAATATATCTAATCATCCATGTATTCTGCTTGAATTAGAATGGATATTTCCTGTGACCTCACTGGGACTTTTTAGTTTCTCCAAGGGATGCGTATGTTTAGTTGGTGTGTTTTTTTTTGTGTGTGTGTGTTTTCTTTGATAAGTTCTTCAGTCTAATAGTATGCTAGGTAGAGACACATCCCTTTGGCTAATAAGGTAGTTAGTTACAAGAGGTTCCAGAATTCTGAGAGCAAACTAAGTGATATTTGGCAATGAATAGTACTTTGTACTATCTCTTAAGTGCCCAAGGATGACAAAAGCTAACTGTAAATAATGGTAAGGTTTGGGACAACAATGAAAAAAATATATATATATACACCCAACAAAATGAAAAGTTAAAAAAAATAATGGTAGGGTGGTGTCATTTATACTCTTACATTACCAGAGTTGCAAATAAATACTTGTTAGTGTTATGGAAAGGATGAAGAAGTGCAGACTATTGTGTATGTTAGTGGTTTTGTAATCACTTTAAAGTTAACTTTACCTCCTTGGTATATGAAATTGTTACATGCTGTATCTAATTAATTGATATAGCCTTCTCTTCAAGCTATTGGCTTGTTAAACAGACCTATAAACTGGAAAGCTGAAGATAACATTAGTAAAAGCCACTTTCAACGGTGTCTTGTTTAAAATTGACTTTAAAGCTCAATACACCTATAGTTTTTCCAAATAATTAATTGTATTTTCTAAAGAGCCAGTAGTTTATGTTGAAAGGAGCTGCATATAGTTACTATATGAAAACATTCTTTATTCATTTCTCATTTGCCTTCTCTTAATGGTTATGTCTTATTCCTTTAAATTTTTAATATTTTAAAGCAACCCTGTATCTATAACCATTCAACTATGATGTCTTACCACATAATAATTTTGGTTTTTAAAGATTATGTAATAACCACAATGACATAATTTTAAGTGATTTATTTGAGAAGTGTTACTGTCTTTAGCTTTTGTCAAGTAAATTTTAAAGTTTTTGTGATTCACATTTTCTCTTTTGGTTTTTATTATTATTTCCTAAGTTCTTGCGTTGGCTTCTGGTCCTGAACTGGGACAACTGACATTTCTTGGCCTGGTCGGAATCATTGATCCTCCTAGAACTGGTGTGAAAGAAGCTGTTACAACACTCATTGCGTCAGGAGTTTCGATAAAAATGATTACTGGAGACTCACAGGAGACTGCAGTTGCAATCGGTATTAGGCTGCTTCCTTTTGTTTTTGATAGTTTTTGTTTTTTTAATTGCTGCAGTGCATGGTTTAGTGAGCCATTAGACATGAAATGAGTTTACATAATACTGAGATTATGAATATAATTGAAATTGATTATTTTGTGTACTCATGCTCTGTATAAAATTGTGAGACAAAACTTAGTTTAGTTTAAAAAGTAATACTGTTTTTTAACCTCATAATCCACTATCCTGATGAATAAAAAGCACTAGATCATGAGTGTGAAAAGAAACATGAAAATTACTTTTTTCCTTTTAACTTTATATTTTCAAAGCAGAGTTGTACCTATTTTGAAAGAAAATAGCTATGTTTATTTTTCTCACCGTATGTATGTCTGAGTAGTTTGAATGCCATTTATAATTACCTTAAAAAGTAAAAGGGTTAAAAATGAACATGAAAGTTAATCTCTCAGAGCCTGTACACTATACTTCATACTGATAAATTTAAGCAGTTTGCTAAAAGTTCATTATTTCTGATTTTATTAATATGGAGAGAGGTTGGGATGGGAGTTTCACACTTTATGTTATTAAAGAAGAATGTTACTAGAAAAGTTAACATGGTTGGGAAGATTATACTTTGAAAAACTTGCAACGTTTATTTTCATGTACATGGAACTACACGATTACCACATCAGCTATCATTTTATTTGACTTTGGATACTTAAAATGCTCTTTGCTCTTCACTGCAGTTGAGCCGCTGCACAGAACCTCATTGGTCCTGTTCCAGTGTTTAGGTTTAATGAGGGATTAAGTTGTGAAAACTCTTTATTTACTCTTCAGTTTAAACAAAATAAAAGAGTGAAACAGAAAACCCTATATGTTTGAAATTCAGATAGGTTTGTCTTACTAGTAGTTTGTCTTGCAGTCCCTTGATATAGAGGTATTTTATACTTAAAAATGAGTGGATGACAAGTTTTATCAACTGAGCATTATGTTGACTATCCTGTCAAACAAAACCAATTTTTTAAATTATGTTTTTTCTTCCATTTCACTTTAGCTAGTCGCCTGGGATTGTATTCAAAAACTTCTCAGTCAGTCTCAGGAGAAGAACTAGATGCAATGGATGTCCAGCAGCTTTCACAAATACTCCCGAAGGTACTCACTCATAAACGAAAGCCTTTTAGATGAAAGGCCTCATACTAAGTGTTACCATTTCTGCTGCTATGAAAATGAAACTATTTATTTGAGAGCAGTTAGGACATGACCACAATTTTGGACCAAAATTTGTTGGTCCAAATCATAAAATGAAATCTTATCATTGCAACTGGACTTATTGTTGTGAGTATTTGTGATGTGATCATTATGACTGTCATTGCAAGTTTATTAATGTTAGCAAGAACCAGATTTCACCAGAGGAGAGCACTATAGATTAGCAATGGTTGTTGGTTGTATTGTATTTATCAATTACAGAATGGAGAGAAAGACCATTACTTTATACTTCTTAACCTTTTGTTCTATTTTAATTGTAGATGAATATGTAATACTTTAAAAAAAAATTGAAATACCATTTACATACAGTAAAATTCGTCCTTTTTAATGTACTATTCTAAGTTTTGATGTTTGATCTTGTAATTGCCACCAAAATCAAGATATAGAACAGTTTCATTAGACCCCAGATTCTCTTGTGCCTTTTTGTAAGCAGCTCCTCCCTCTACTCCCAGAATGAGGCACCTACTGGATGGTTTTCTGTTCCTATAGTTTTGTTGTTTTCAGAATGCACTAAAAATGGAACTGTGTAGTAAGAAGCCTTGAATCTGTTTCTTTCACTTATTAGCACTTGCATTTCAGATTTAGCTGTGTTGGTTGTGTGTATGTGTATTAGCAGTTCTTTTTCTGTTTGCTGAGTAGTATTCACTGTATGGGTATTGTTACTTTTTCACCACTTCAAGGATATTTGAATTATTTCCCATTTTTGCAGATTATGAGTAAGCTACTGTAAACGTGTGTGTAAGTTTTTGTGCAAATATAAATTTTTATTTATTTTGAGTAAAAATACCTAAGAGTTGCTGCTACTGGGCAATATGGTTAATGTATGTTTATCTTTGTAAGAAACTACCAAGTTGATTACAGTGTTGCTTTATTGTTTTGCAACTCTATCAGTAATGTTTGAAAATCCTCATTGCTCTGCATCTTCACCAACACATAGGATGTCAATTCTCCCACTCATTCTGTTAGGTATATAGTGATATCTTATTGTGGGTTTAATTTGCATTTTCCTTATAAGTAGTGATGTTGAGTATCTTTTCATGTGCTTGTTTTCCTTTTTGCCATTATATATCGTCTTTAGTGAAGTGTCTGCCCTGCCTATTATTTAAAAATTGTGTTTATGTTCTTACTGAATTTCGAGTGTCCTTTGTGAGAACACTTGATTTCAAGTATTTTTTCCTGGTCTGTGGCTTCTCTTAATGCTGTATTTCAAAGAGCAGAAGTTTTAAGTTTTGATGTAGTCCAGTTTATCACTGTTTTCTCTTATGGGTCATTTTTTAATGCCTTATCAAAAACTCTGCCTAATTCCAAATCACACATTTTTTTTTTCTGTGTTTTCTTCTAGAAGTCTTATACTTTTAGTTCTTACATTAAGGTCTGTGATGCATTTTCAATTAATTTCTCTCATACTGTGAGAAATTAGTTATGGTCCTTTTTTTCTTTCTTTTTTCTTTTTTTTTTTTTGCATAGGGATGCTTATTTATTCCATCACTGTTTGTTGAAAAGGTAAATTCTCCATTGAACTGTCTTTTTACCTTTCATTGTGATGCTTTTCTAACAAATTATTTATAGCACAGTAGTTTCTTTAGAACCAGGTTCCCTGGTGTGAGATTAACTTATTATGTTGGGCTGTTTTGTGGGGGCTTTACAAAGCCTGGTTTGTGGGTACACAGGTCCCACAGGACAGGCCCCATAAGATGTAGGGAGCGTTTTTGCATCCAGGTTGTTGAAAGTTTGAATTTCTCATCCTCATTGTTACTTTTTTGTTTATGCATATATATGTGTATGTCCTTTAAAATAAGGTCTTATTATCTCATATTTATTTTATTAGACATTACATAGCTACCCACTGACAGTACTAAAATGTGCTACCTTCTCTTTTACACTCACAACTGCAAGCTATATATTTAGAACACTGTTTTCTTAAATTATTTCCACATCTTAACTTAAAGCTTGTCTTTTGATAATACTATTTTCTGATTAGAAAATTTATTCATTAGTAGTTATATGTTCATTGTGGAAAAACTGAAAGGCCTAGAAAAGTAAGAGTTACAGAGCAAACTACCTATAATACAATTCAGATACTCAGAAGTTATGAACCCACAGAGCACCCAAGATAATAAATGAATTAACCCATATTTCTCTGTCAGATGTTTAACAAAACCTCTGTTGTTTGTGAGTTTAACGAAGTCTGGTTGGTATTTTATAGTGTTATAAGCCTGAACATTGTTAAACAAAATGTGAGAACTTTCCCATTCCTGAAATCTTAGGTATTATTATAAAACATGTTTCTTAATGGCTGCACAGTGTTCTGCTTGGGTATACTGTGTGTGTGCAAACACATGGGAAATAGATGGTTATATAATCATTTTTTTTTTAAATTTGAGCTTCAATTTCTATTTTGTTACTGTAAATAATACCTTTTAAGGATAATAATAGTAGCAACCATTTACCCTGTGTCAGGCAGTTCACGTATTACATACATTATCTATTTACTCCTTATAGCCACCTTATAAAAGACAGGCAGCTTTGTTTTTGCTGATGAGGAAATTGAGGCACAGAGAACTTGGGAGACTTAACTGAAGTCTCAGGGCTGATGAGGGGCTGGTATTGGTGTTGGGGTGGTTTTGGCGTTGGGACTGGAGCTCAGGTCCAGTCCTGAGTGTGAATCCAGTCCAGTCCTGAGTGTGAATCCAGTCCAGTGTGAATCTAGAGTTCATCCTCTGTTGCTTACTGGGTCATAAACATTGTGTGTAAGACTTTACGTCCGACTCTGATTATTTCTGTAAATTCCTGTGTGTGAAGTGATAAGACCAATGTGCAACACATTTGTAAAGGTCTTAACACGTTTTGATGAATTGCCCTCTGAAAAGGTTTTAGTTTCTATTTCCACAAACTGCATTTCATACAGTAGCATTAAGTCCCTACACCTCCAGCCTCACCTGCAGTTAGATTTTGGTTACAGTCACTATTAGAAATGCACTATTTGCTGTTCCATGCTTTCTTTTTAAAGCTCTAGACACTCATGAATTGTGTTTTCAGAGCCTATGGGAGTAAGCTTGGGTGTTTGCTTTTAGGGTTAGTGGAGTAGTGTTTTTGTATCTGAACGGGACTTTTTTGTGTCTTATCCTGATGGTTTCTTTTGACATTTGTTTCTGAAAGAATAAATCTTGTATTAGGTTCCCTGGGAGTACTGGGACAGAGTATACATTAATAAATATATGTGAAATCTGCAGTCAGTTAAACATTTTTCTCATTTGACCTTTGTTCAGCCCTTCTTCTAGATCTTTTCCCAGAAATATTAACAAGTAGTGACACTAACAGATTAAAATTTTATTTTATTTTATTATTTTATTTTGTTATTTTAATTCTAATTTTAATTTGCTTTCTTCAGTTCACTCTCTGGCTCTGGTAACAAATACTAATGATCTGAAAACCGACCTAAAGATAGGTAGACAAGGAAGAAGCAAATTACAGTTTACATCATTAGCCTGGACAGATCGAATCATTGGTCTTTTTGAAAGAGTTTTTGTGCATTAATGAATTATGGTAGATTCCGTGACACTGTTCCCAAGAAACTAAAAAAAATTAAAATAAAAATCATAAGCCTAGTGGGAAATTCATTCATTGAATTGCTTCCTGTTGTCCCATTCCAAAGAGAAATTTCATAAATACCAGGGCTTTCTTTCAGGTATTTCATGCCTTCTGAATACCTAAGTCTTTTTTTTCTTGAAATACTGTTAATTAATTTTTTTAGTCCTTTGAGCTTAGCTGGGCTCCCTGCCTCTCCCTCCCCCATGTTCTCACCCCTCACCCTAACTCCTCCCCCCTCCCACTGGCGTTTATGTAACTCTCTTAAAGCCAACATGTGTTCTTGGTCTTATATGCTTTTATTTCAGGTTGGTTTGAAAAATAGCTTTTCATTTATTAGTGTTAAGGACAAAACCTTTCTTCTAAATTGTCAGCTCACTGAGGTATTTCCACATGTACTCAATCCTATTAATTTCTGTTCCTTATTAAAATTCTTTTCAGTTTTTCCTTTCCATAGTTTAACCACACATTTCAAATCTCTTAACATTGCCGTGTCCTTTTGACCTGGAGCCAGTTAAAAAGTATTATAAAAACTGAATTTTGCTTAATTTTTTATAAGCTCAGTCTGGGAGTTCTCATTGTTTTTGTTTATGATTTCTTGCAGTTTGTTCGACAGTTTCCACATTTGGGAACATCCTCTTTTTTTGTTTGTTTTTTATAGCAGTACCTGCATTTGTATTTCTGTCAAACCTACTAACCAAGTCCCTGTAATATAATCCCAGTTTGTGTGCTGTTTAATTTCTGGTAGGTTGTAAATACTTACTTTAGTCACCTATTTTTTCTTCAATGCATCAGGTAACTTTTTACAGGTCCTGGAAGATTTGGGGACCTTTGGCAGGTTTATTTTAATGCTGGGAATGCTTCTTAAAATTAAGCTGTCTAATATTTTCCTCCTTTCTGTTTTAAAATTTTCTTTCCCAGTGCAACTTGTCTGTTAATGTTGATCAAAAGAGCTGTTGAGTACTGACCACAAATATGACACTGAAAAATAAGTACTCGCGGGAAGAGAGAATCCTTTTACAAGTCACTTCTGAAAATGCATAGCCTTTTCCCTCTTCCTTTAATGATTTTTATCTTTTCCTCCCATGTTATTCCCTAAACTCTCTCCTTTTCTGACAAAGTTCTACTTCTTTCCCGCTGTCCTTTTACCATATACTACCTTCCTGCCGTGTGCTCCCAAACTGTAGAGATTTTACTCAGTGCTTCCCTCTAACCAGTGTATTCCCTTTTTCTGGGTAAAGAAACAGATGTAAGTGTGAAATGATCATTAGTAGGTGAAATTCAGTTACCTTCAAGTTTAATCCTAGCTCTGTGACATAGTAATGCAGTTTAGTTTTTACTCATTTCTAGTGTGTTTTTTTAAAGATTTTATTTATCTTTAGGGGGGAAGGGAAGGAGAGAGGGAGAGAAATGTCAATGTATGGTTGCCTCTCGTGTGTCCCCTGCTGGGAACTGGCCTGCAATCCAGGCATGTGCCCTGACTGGGAACCGAACCACAGTTGTTTGGTTCGCCTTGCGCTCAATCCACTGAGCTACAACAGCCAGGGCTCTAGCGTTTTTTAAATACCTAATTTCTTTAGGTCATAATTTTATGTATTAAGTTTCAGTATTTTTACTCAACTAAAAGGATTAACCTGTTCATCCTCATGCTTTAACCAGAGATTTTTGTGTAGTGTTATTGTTACCGAGTGGACCCATATACCGATATGTTATTGTTACCAAGGGGACGATATACTATTACCAAATGATCCTCCTTTTCTCCCCGGGTACCTCTTTACCAGGTCGCCTTGCCTGCCTCCAGGGAATTACAGCTCTCAGTGTCAGAGATTGGTGAAAAGGAAAGGAATTATTTATTCAAAAGTAATACAGACTTAAGAGTAATGACTTAATGTCTTCATTAAAATCCCAGATTTGTAATGGGGTACAGAACTCGGGGTGTCTAGGAAATAATAAAAAATATATAGGATGTCTTTGCCCCAAAGTCCCTTAAAACACCCATAAACACACACAGTCCTTCCTCCCCACCTTTGCCCAGTCCAGGCTACCATATCTTGGGAAAGGAAACAGAAGTCTGTGTCTCAGGTAACCCCCAGTTCTTCCCAGTAATCCACGCTTGGCTGGCAGGCCTTCTTCAGTTCCCAGCACCATCAGCTGTGTTGCCGCCAGGATCTCCAGTTCATAATCCAGTTAGTTTTGGATTAAATTTCCCCAACTAGTTATGTGGAAACATTCCCCTAGTGTTTCAGGACTCTGAAACACTAGGGGAAGGTGCCATGGGTCGGCACCTTCTCATGGCCACCAGCAAGAGTCCTTTCACCCTTCCCTTCCCGCAGCATCTCTCCTGCACTCCTCTGAACTGCTAAGATAGAGCTCTGCATCACTGCTACATCTTGCTTTCCAGCTTCCTAAGCTGTGTGGCAAAGGGAGCCCCCAAACCACGTGGGTCCCCCTTCTTTCCAAAGCCAAACAACTCTTAATGGCCTTGCTCTATGCATCCCATCCCCAAGTTCAGACTTGTTGGGGCAAAGACATCCTATATATTTTTTATTATTTCCTAGACACCCCGAGTTCTGTACCCCATTATAAATCCCTATTTAGGGGTTCCCTGGCTGCACCCTGTTACATTATGTACCACGTGCAGAACACGTAAGTGAGCGTTCAGCTTTGCATTAGTAAAAGGAGAGAAAGAAAGGATGGTGCCTGGAGACAGATACCGCATGGTGGGAATTATGACAGTTCTCGTCTGATTTTTTCTTTGAAATGGGAAACAAGGTTTTCAGCTGAGAGTGAGGTTGGAGAAAAGGATCAGTTGAAAGTGCAAGGAGAGAAAAGTAGTATGGATGAACCCTCTAGGAGAGTAGGAAAGAGAATGGTGTACTATGTGGCTATTCAAATCGCCATGGCTTAGAAGTGTTGTTGGAGAGAGGGACAGTAGGCAGATGTTCAGGTCTCTGAAACACTGGGGAGTGACCTCTCTGGAGCAGTGGATGCTTGCAGTTACAGGGAGGGGTAGTCTCCTGTGGTGTTCAGAACTGAGGTTTGATGAAAAAGAAGGGAGGATGGCGGGCACCTGTCTCCCTCTAGGCTCTCCTGGTTGTACTGCTGGAGAGGACTCTAGGGATGGCCCATGTTTTGCAGAAAAACCAGGTTAAAGCAATGTGGAAACAGGGAGGACATAGGAGATATTTGTTGGTTACTGATGACTGACTTTGGGGCACAGGGAAAATGTTTCAGAAGACAGGAGATGGGGGCAGAAAAAGGGATCGAATGCTTGGTTTGGAGAGATAAGATCATATAAGCAGTTGGAGATATAGTGGAAGAGATCCTAATGAATTAGCCTAAATAAAAGTATGATCAGACACTTGACACTTAAGGAAAAGATGGGGGTGCTTTGTAGGTACAGAGAAGCCGCTGTTCTTTCTCTCTGCTGAGACAGAACAAAGGGAAGTGGCCATTTCAGTTGTCTGTCGTGAGGAAACGGATGCAAGAGTTTTTTCCCTTTCTCTGTGTCCGCAGCATTTCAAGAGTAAGGCTGTTTCCTCTTCAGAGATTGTGTATTTTCTGTGGTACCTTTGGTAAAGTTTGAAATAACTGTGTCAGAGGAGTGTCTCAACAAACATGACATATTGCTTAAGCTTGATCTCTGTGGCAAATGACATATAATTTAAATTCATAATTTAAAAAGATTATTAGCTGTAAGCATATGGGTTATTCCAGTATTTCTTAAAGTTGAAGATTTTTGATGTGTCTTTTATTTTAACAGGTGGCAGTATTTTACAGAGCTAGTCCAAGGCACAAGATGAAAATTATTAAGGTGGGTCTCTAAGAATCAGACTGTTTAATCTTTATATCCAAAGTGCTCCTTCTTGTCTTTCATTATGTTTGCCTTACTAGGGATATTAGATAGAGCATTAAAGTCAGAAGTACTGTGGGGCAGTCACATGAGGAAGGTGTAAAAGAAAACTTGAATGAGATGCCTACAAATACCACCCACTGGAAACACGTGAACAGTGTACAAGTCTGTTCTGACAGGGGTCCATCATCAGATCATCCCAGTGTGAGCAGCAATGGTTACTTAGAAACTGAACAAATACATCAAGAAAAAAATGTTATAATGTAAACAGTAGTTAAAAGGCCAGAGTAATATATATGAATATGTATATATTTTTATATATTAGACATATATACACACACACAACACAACCGACATAGTATCCATTAATTAATGGACTAAAATTATTAATCACCATAGCCTCGTGTTGTATTAGTTCAGGGTGTCTTAACCTTAGCACTGTTGACATTTTGGACTGAATAATTCTTTGTCATGAGGGGCTGTACTGTGTATTGTAGGATGCTTAGGAACCTCCCTGACCTCTACCCTCTAGATGTCAGTAGCATCCCTCAAGTCATGGCGGTCAGAAAGGTCGGCAGACATTGCGAGATGTCCTCTAGAAGGCAAGACTGCCCCTGAGGGGCACTGCATAACTGGATGTCGACTTCAGACATCCACTTCTCAAACACTGGGAATATTAAAAGACACTTTTTAAAGCTTTGTCCTAAGACCTCAGTATACTGAAATTTACTGAAAACTTGATGGTCTATATCATTTCTAATCTTAATTATAGATTAGAGGGTTTGTTTATCACTTTATCTCTGTCGAAACAACATTTTCATCAGAATTTCTCCCTAAGCCCTCTTCTTCCCTGCTCCCCTGTAGTCTTTACAGAAGAATGGATCAGTTGTAGCCATGACTGGAGATGGAGTAAATGATGCCGTTGCTCTGAAGGCTGCAGACATCGGAGTCGCGATGGGTCAGACTGGCACAGATGTTTGCAAAGAGGCAGCCGACATGATCCTGGTGGATGATGATTTCCAAACAATAATGTAAGTTTTATTTCAGTATTCACTGTGTATCAGAGAACCGTCTCCCAGTCTTTCTTCCACCTCATCCCCAGGCAATTCGGGTGGGAAAGAGTAAATGATATTTAAGCATTGGATGAATTAAACTATTTTACTAGGTCAGTTAATCTTATTTCATGGGGTAGCCTGTAGTTTTAGAGAAAATTACTCTGTGTGGAATGGAAAGGACATACTAAATGGCAGGGCCGTTCATTAAGAAATATTCACAGAGTGCCAGTCAGGAGTCACATTTTTCTGGCCTTAAGTGTGGTGGTGCAGCAGTGAGCCTTTGTGGGATCTTTATTCTAGTTAAATTCAGGCCATCAGAAATAGCATGTGCATGTCCATATAATAAATACTAAAAAGAATCAAGTTCTCATCGTACCTATTTCCTTATGTCAGTAATTGTTCATGTCGTCAGTGGCATAACTTACTAAGTTATTGTAACTTTGTTCATCCGCAGTTTCTCATTGATTTAAGATTCTTATGTAATACACGGTGGTGTCAGTTTTCCCACAGTGTTCAGTGGGAGTCCCCTGAATCCTGGTTTTTTGATAATCGCCTATCTGCCAACCTGAGTCTTAGTCGTTTCAGTGACGCATGCCATTCATATGCCCATGGTGCTGCTTTAACCCACTGTGGCCGGGAGTGAAGCATGTGGGGACGCAGGACTCAGAATTGCTAAGCTCTTGTAAGGATGTAAGATATTTTCCTTCCATTCTCAGAATTGTATAAAAATCTTGGAAGAAAGGGGAAGTTGTTTTAAAAACACCTATTTTCCTAGATTCAACCACATGAATGAGATAATTTACTACAATATGATTTTACTACATCTAATTGTGTATAGGAGCAAAAATAGTTTAAGTTCTGTAATTCTTATATATCTCATTGCCATTTATTTCCTGACATACATTAATTTAATCCCCGTGCATGGATCTTGAGTGTTTAAGAAAAATAAACTAGGGTTAATGAAGATTATTATTTTAGTATTATAAGTGTGTAGTATTGTATCTTATATAGAAAGACCATATGTGATTTTAATGTTGAAATATCTTTTTATGAATAATAATTGTTAATACTATAAGTGAAATTAGTTGAGGTGGGGCTTATTATCAGACTTTAATTCTTGCTGGAATAATGTTTCCATATTTTTTGTGATATTAATTATGTGAAGAAAATAATAGATTCTTTTAGCCATGTATGTATTACATCAATTGGAAATTTGTTTTCAAAATTAGTGTTTTAGTACAGCTATCTTCATTTTTGTGTAATAATATTTGTCCACTTTTTAAAAATTTCAGGTCTGCAATTGAAGAGGGTAAAGGAATTTATAATAACATTAAAAATTTTGTTAGATTCCAGCTGAGCACGTAAGTCTGTAAGAAGTTTGTCACCATGAGTCTTATAGATAAATTACATGAATATTATAATTCATGCAGAATGCCTAGAAGCTTCTGGATTCTCTTTCTGTGGGTTGTTCCATATATTTTCCAAAATGAAAATCAATTCAAAAATTAACAATGGTGTAATGGTGTGGTTAATAGGTTCATAATGTGAATCTTAGGTATCTGTATTACCATCCAAATATAGAAGCCTTTGTGGTTTAATGGCTCCTGAAATAACTGAGGCGTGTCAGTTATTTTTTCTTGGTGTTTCCTCATGGTATATTTTTCCAAAAGTAAAAGGGCTTTTCTGTAGTCAAAGTGACCAAAATATTGTCGAAATTGTTAATTATTATATAGCAACAGCTACTTGAACTCAATTGAAAGACTCTTCCTCTGTTTATTATTGTTATGTAAACATCTTGAAGATTCTTTATTAAAATGCTGTGGATTGGAAGAGTTAGCCCCTGGTTTAACAATGTTATTGGAAATACAGGGTTCCTTTAAGAGCATGGTAGTAACATGAGATTTTTAAATGCTAAAAAAGTGATACCTTAAATTAGTAGAATTGTACTAAGCTGACAGATTTTTTTTAATGGCTTTTTTCAACAGGAGTATAGCAGCATTAACTTTAATCTCATTGGCTACGTTAATGAACTTTCCCAATCCTCTCAATGCTATGCAGATTTTGTGGATCAATATCATCATGGATGGGCCTCCAGCTCAAAGGTAAGAGTTTTTTGATGCATGAACTAGAAAGATAAGGATGTTACGATATCCTGATTATTGAGTTTTAAAACTTGATTCATAGGTAGCATTAGAAATTTTTGCATCAACTTGTGTGATGTGTGCATGTCATTTATTTTCTTGGGTGCTCACCCATCCCTTGTGGATCTGAGCCTTCACTCTGTGTTCAGTGCCAGGCCTTCCTCTGAGAACAGATGAGGGCAGTCCCTGCCCTGAGGAAGTCATCTTTCGGTTTCTAATAATGGGGGGTAGTGGGGGAATCTGTGCGTTTAGTGCTATTAACTAGACTTTGCTATCAATTTTAGAGACTTAGGGAAAGTATTAAAGGACCTAAGCGTCTAGGTTTTTTCTTTTGTAATAATGGGGCCATAGATACCACTTCCCAGTATAAAGAGTAGTTGAGTAATACTTGTCAGTGACCATTACAACAAATCCTCCAAGTTGAAACCTGCTTGCATGAAAGATATTTCAAAGCCCAGTTGGTAGGTTGTGTATTTCAGGCCATATAAGTAAATGAGATTGGACAACTTTTTGAAATTGGACTCTTAATCTATTAAACTATGCTAAATAGATAAGGGTAAAGGAAGAAAGTGGTAAAATTTGTGATTATTTTTGAGTAACCATAGCCAAGGTTTCTTTTGTAATTCAACTCTTTGTCTTTATAAGAAAGCATTTAGTTTTTCTGGATAACTGAGGTTAATCAGACTTGAAAGTAACAAATCTAAAACCTTAAAACTTTAAAGTAATTCACTTTTCTTTTTGTTTTGAAGCCTTGGAGTAGAACCAGTGGATAAAGATGTCATTCGTAAACCTCCACGCAACTGGAAGGACAGCATTTTGACTAAAAACCTTATACTTAAAATACTTGTTTCATCAATAATCATTGTTTGTGGGACTTTGTTTGTCTTCTGGAGGGAGGTATAGTCTCTGGATAAGTTGTTTTCTTAACATGTATTTTGTATGATAGGACTCAGTTCTTTTCGTGTGTTACATGGAAGGCTGGAAAGTTAGGAGAGCTCTTTGAAAAATTTGATAGCAAAAACATTTTTATTTCTTTAAAATGATTTATTTATTTTTAGAGTGAGGGGAAGGGAGGGAGAGAAACATCAGTTTGGGGGAGAGAAACATTGATCGGTTGTGTTTTGCTCACCCCAAACCAGGGACTTGGCCCATAGTCCTGGCATGTGCCCCGACTGGGAATTGAACTGGTGACCCTTTGCTTTGTGGAATGATGCCCAGTGAGCCACACCAGTCAGGGTGATAATAAAACCTTTTAAACGTAGTTTGATTTTAGTCTTTGTGGATTATTGGAATTTCAGACTCATTTTTTAGACAAATTTAAATCTGCAAAGATTATCAGATACAATAAAAATATATGAAGATTTGGGGAGATGTTAGAAAATCTAAGTCTTTAATGTAGATACTTTATCGTCATCACAGTGTAAGTTGTTTTGGTGTCTGTTACACGGCTGGTGAGAAGACTACTTTGTGGTGACTGCAGCTCTTCATTAGGAGACTTATTTAAATGTCATACAGGGGATTTAGGCAGCTTACGTCTTTATGTCACAAGACTAAAGGCAGTTTATCTGAATGGAAAGGAAATATTAGCCATTTAAAAGCATGCTGTATTTGCCCATTAAATTCAGTCACTGACATTCATTTTTCCTCTTGTCAGCTGCGAGACAATGTGATAACACCCCGAGACACAACAATGACCTTCACATGCTTTGTGTTTTTCGACATGTTCAATGCACTGAGTTCCAGATCCCAGGTATGCTGATTGGTTCACTCAGGTTAGAGCACTTTCTAATTGGAAGCAGGCGAGGATTATGGGTTTGTAGCTTTCCTTGGTTTGGTAGCCATAGACTACAGCCTCAGATACAGCTTTCCTACAGATATGTGCCTACAGACACATGTCATAATAGGGATGGAGCATTTGGAAAGAAAAGCCTTAACTTTGACCAGAAAATCACTGTAAATCACAGGTGTTATTACCTGATCTTTATTCTTTCAGTCCTCTTGTTATCTGGATATTTTCAGGTTAACATTATCCAAGCATAGGGCAGACCTCATTGGTTCTGTTAAGGAGGTATTAGTCTCTTATTAGAAGTAGAAGAACAATTTGTTTTGTGTATTAATCTTTTCTTGTTACTTCTGTCAGCATGTCAAAGCTTAGGACATTTTAACTGCCATTGTAGAATTCCATCCAGCTTATTAAAAATTAGAGGTGACTGTAATAATAAGGCAGTTGTTTCTGTGACGAGGGAGTAATAATTGAATTCTCCTCTGCCAACAGACCAAATCTGTGTTTGAGATTGGACTCTGCAGTAACAAAATGTTTTGCTACGCAGTTCTCGGATCCATCATGGGACAGTTATTAGTCATTTATTTTCCTCCACTTCAGAAGGTGTTTCAGACTGAGAGCCTCAGTATACTGGGTAAAGCAAATGTTCTTTATAATTTATATATTTTAGATGAATTGTAAGTATTTTCTAGTGTGTTGGTTCTGATAAAAATTTCCTTTTAGAAATTGAAACAAGAAGAGTTGCTGACTTGATCTGAAAAAGGAGTGTGCTCTGTTTTTTCACTGGGAGAAGTTTAGGGGAGTCACTGTCCTGACTCTGGGTTTATTATTTCTTTTCTAATTTTTATAGGTTATTAATGATCAAAATCACATTTGGTTACTTTGAAATAGAGCAAATCAAAACTTGTTACAGAGTTAATATAGTTTATAGTTTTTCAGTCTTCTGTGGAGAAAAAACTAGTTTTAAGCTCACTGGAAACCAAATTGCTTTTCTATAAAGTTATAATTTAAATAACTTAATATTTTACTGTTGTTACTTGCCAATTTGTAATTCTTATTTTAATCAAATAATAGCTTGATCCTAAAAGTAGGATATTTTATTATGATTATGTAGAAGATAGGCATTATTCTTGTGCATATTGTGCATTAAATATTATAGTATTGTACATCTAAAATTTAATTTTTCTATGTAAGTGTGAGGACTGGTGTATTTTGTGGTAATGCTACTTTAAATTATTTTTTTAAGCTAATTTAGATATTTATGAAATGAGTGATGCAGCCTCAGTGGATTTTTTGTTATAAATCTACCTTAAAAGTGAACTAGTTTAAAGTTAATATTTTAATTTCACATTCACATCTCTTACTCTTTAAAAAAAGAGGAGTTTTAACTAGTTTTTCAAGCAGTAAAGAATGAGTTAGTATGAACACCGTTGTGAAGACACGGCCTTTAAAGATGATGTTCTTCTGGATAATTAGTTAACCACTGCCTGAACAGCCTTTTTTTAAAAGGTTGTATGATCTGTAGGAAGCTTTTGCTTTTATTGCTGTTAAAAGTTATAGTTATCAGGTTATCTGTGGTTCAGGGAACAGTGGTCAGCGGACTTGGGTTCTGTTCATAGCTGTGTGACTGTGGATAAGTCACTTCATCACTCTGAGCCTGACTTCCTTGCTTTTATACTGGGGCTGATTATCTACCTTATGGAATGGTTGTAAAGCAATGTCTTTTAAAAGCTGTGGTAAAATGTTAGATGTAAGCTGTTAAGCTTTGCAGCTATATGTTTCAAAGAACTATAAAACCCAATTTGTTTTCTCTTGCAGATCTGCTCTTTCTTTTGGCTCTCACCTCGTCAGTCTGCATAGTGGCAGAAATTATAAAGAAGGTCGAAAGGAGCAGGGAAAAGATTCAGAAGCATGTTAGTTCAACATCGTCGTCTTTTCTTGAAGTATGATGCATATTGCATTCTTTTATTTGCAAACTAGGAATTGCAGTTTGAGGATCATTTACAAGGGCAAATTCAAGAAGATAATGAAGATTTGAGAACTTTTTAACTTTTCATTGACTAAACATGAGCATTAATGTTAAAGACTTGATTGGAGACTTTAACGTGCTGATAGTCCCAAATGAAATTATGCAACTTTGATAACAAATTTCTTGATTTAAATTGGCTTTTGAGATTGAGGGGAACTTTATAAAAGCATATGGGCATTTATTTAATTAAAAAAAAAACAGGCAAAACCTAAACCACTTAAAGAGGTCTAACAATACAAACACACTGTCTATCTTAGATAGATATAAATATTTTTTTTAATTTTTAAATATTGTACTATTTATGGTGATGGGGCTTTCTTACTAATACACAAATAAATTTAATCATTTCAAAGGCATTCTGTTCAATTTAGAAAATGTTTCCCAGGGGTGCCATATTCAGCTACTGTATTTCCTTTTTCCTGCAGTGTAAGCAGCTCAGACACGTTGTGTTACCATTTTTGTATCTCAAGTTTTTTGCACAGGATGTGACCACTGTCAAATCACTGTTCTTTTCTTTCTTTTTGTGACTGAAAAGCCTATACTGCAATTTGAAGTAAATGTTTGCTTTTCTTAGTAAGTATAAATGGTTGCTTTTTTCCTCCCCCAGCTATGAATCTTTGGTCTAGCAAAATTCGTGCAGCGCTGTCCAGTGGCTTTCTAGTTAGGTAGTCATGTCTGCAATTCACACTCAGTCAGAGAGTCAGAAATATTTAAGACTGGGCTGAAAGTTATAAAAACTTTTATTAACATGCTATGCCTTCTTTCAGAGTTAAATATAAATATACACTTTGTCAGATATCATTTTGTCATCCCCTAAATATAAATCCAAGTACCTCTCCTGAATAACTGAATGTTATTATTTTAAATATCTTTTTAAGCATTTTTTAAGGAAGTATAGAGTGCTATACTTAGAGAGTAAAAAAGCCCCGAGACCAAACAGGCCGTGTCAGAACCAGGGTACGGGTGGAAGACGCTGTGCTGGCCTTGCTCTCCGTGTATCTGCGGCCTCTCTGGCCTACATCGCAGCCCAGCCCCGAGCCTGTCGCTTCTCCTACTTACACTGCTTGTTCCTTGCCTTCTTTCTTTTCACTGGGCACACTAGAGAGATAGATGGCTTCGCTCTTGTATTGCTGTCAGTTTTTATGGTATTTGATGAGGTATAGGTAATTTATTTAGAAGGTATGGCAGATTTGGGCCAGAAATTCAAAATTGCAAATCCATTTTCCTGTTAACTTTCTGAAACAGAAATGGGTCTTAAATTTGATGTTTAATTCCACCTGAAGTGAGCTAGTTTTGTATTTTATAATTATTCTCTATTTTTTAAACTGTCAGGATAAATCATTGTGTAGTTTTTATTACCATTATTGAACTGCCAGTGTTAGTACTGAAATGCTATCAATGATAGGGAGAGTATCTATACTTGGAGTCTTTGTTAGTGAAACTGTTGAGTATAAGGAGATGATATGTTTGCAACTTATTCTACTTTACCCTTTAAGACTCAATAGTCAAAACAAAAAAAAAGACTCAATAGTCAGATCTCACGAGCTAGAACATGGAGGCCATTGTCTACTCAGCTTTATCTGTGGTGACAGGATGTCGTGCTCCTAAACTCTGTAATGATTTTTCTTTTTGTTACAAAGATGTGAAATACATATAAGTGCACGTTAGTCTTTTACTTTTTGCATTGTAGGTTCAGAGTATGCCTTAAATGAAATAAATATGCCTGTTTGTTCATTTGGTTTTTGACCCCCCCCAAATGATTTCATAAGTTAATAACCTTCCATGCAGGATTTGTTAACATTAAAATAATAAGGATGTTGAACATAATGGAAATTAAGTGGTATTCAGAACATAGAATCAGTAATTTAGAGAATGGAGATGCACAAGACAGATAGACTACCATATATCCAGGTTTCAGTTTTCCGTAGTACAACAGCAAACCAGAATATTTGTATATATATCTCCAATAGTATATTATCCACATTAGCATGAAAAATTTAAATGCTTTAGTATCTAAATTTTTATTTTTTTTAACCTCTTTGCTAGCCCTGGAACTTGCTAGAGTTCTTAACAATATTAACGTGATTTTTTTTTTTCTGTTAGACTACCTCATGAAGTTATTTGGCTCCAAAATGATTGAACATCAGGGAAGTAAAGGCACTTGAAATAATTCACCAGTTGGGTAGACAGATGATTAAAATCGGCTGCAAGGAAATAAGGCTGAGTGTGTTCTCTCACACTTGTACTGAGTGCTTCATGATCCAGAGAGGAAACAGTATGAAACCAGGCAGCCTAAGAAAACCTCCCTGCGTGGTCCCGCCCCCCAGTACAGGCTTTATTTAATAGCTGTGACCACACTCACAAGGATAAAATGCATTTTTTTTGCCATTCATACTTATTTTGCATTGGTAGTCTTTCTTTAAATTTTGATCTCTTTCATGTAGGACATAAATAGAGTGAGTGTTGGCCATCCTTCCAATAGTTTCTCAGTGAAGTGAATTGGTAGCAAACAAATATCTAAGAACCTTAATTAAGTTTACCTTACTTTCTGCCTTTTTCACTTGGCAGTTCATGAACATTTTGCTTGCACATGTGACTCACCCAAAAGCTTAGAAGTGTGAATTGTTGTCATTTCTTCTGTAGCTGGAGTGTGCTAGGGACAGGGAGGTGGTGGCACTGCTGCCCTTGAGGAGCTCACAGGCAGGGTCAGCGGGGGATGTAACTGTTACCAGGCTGCTTCATGAATGGTGGGAGTGCACGTTTATTTTAAAAATACACATAACATTAAAGGGAATCCAGCACGCATTTTACTGTCAGTTTACCTTGACACTGGCATTTAGAACTGTTTGAGTGTGTTTTTAGACTGAGCTGCAATCCGAACAGTAGCTGATTTGCATACTAAAACATGCTGTGCCTAAACGTTAATCCTAACTGACTGGTCTGTGACTGGACAAACATACCATCCTGACAGTTAAGTGTCCTTGACTCTCTTGTTGGACAACTTCATTTGGAGTTTTGATTTTTAGGCTTGGTTATCGTTAAAAACTGGATATTGGTTAATCAGTCCTTAGTGTTAATGTAGATATAATAGTCTGCAAATATTCTAGGGGGTTAGGTTTATAAAGAAACAAGAGGTAATTTCTTGTCTTTGGGAAGCCTTTAATCTAACCCTGGAGACCAAAGTGAAATACATCTAATACAGTGCTAAATGCTGCCCAAAATGCCACAGTAGCCAAAGGAGAGAAATAACTTCACTGGAGGAAGTTGTCAAAGAAATTTCCCAGAACTAGTGGCATCTGAATCAAGCCTCAAGTTGGGACTCTAGCCAAGAAGCAGCAGGACGAGGCAACCAAATGGCAAAGCCTCTGCAGAGGTGTTGGTGAGGGCCGGATGGATCAGGTAAAAAGCACAAGAAGCCTGGGGCTGTTAAGGCAGCAAATTTGTAATGTGAGGGGTTGGACAGATAGGGGTCTAGTGGGAAAGACACTTGACTTGTAGCATGGTCCAGGATGTCAAGATGTGAGTTTGGATATTTGTCTGATGGAAGCACAGAGACTAGATAGTAAAAAACAAAATAAAACACAGGGAGACTGACCAGAGAATTTAGAAGCTTAAAGGGTAGAGGGACTAATTCAGCTGTGGCAGTCACTATGGAGAGAAAGGTATAAATATCTACTAAGAAATAACATTGTCATGATGAGACAGTAAAGGAAAACGTGGATGATAGCCCAGTGTTTGGCTCTCTGGCTTGGACAGCAGAGCTGTTAGAGTTAACAAAGTGTAGCAGCCTTTAGTGGGACACAGGTGAATCGGAAATGTGAATTCTGTGGTGTCCTTGAGATTTGTTGAGGGACATGTTAGATAGGATAGGTTTCTAGAACAGAATGAATTAAGCCATGAGTGACTAATTATAATGTAGCAGGAAAGTAATTTCGTGTTATAAGCCTTCCTTCTTTCCTTCCCTTCTCCCTCCCTCCCTCCCTCCCTGCCTCCCTCCCTTTGTTCAAGTAAAGCAATAAATGAATGCAAACTCAGCTTTGACAGAATAAGATACTTTTTGAAAGTTGTTTCTTTGAAGAGTTGACTTAAGAATCAGCAAACAATTACATAGGTAAGAACATTTCATCCCCCTTTGTTACAGAGCTCTCAGGCTGTATTTGTTATTAAGGCCACTGATGAGAGAACACTGATCAGAGTAATTGGTGATACAGCCTTTCAATGTTTGCAGTAAGACACTTCCTTAAAGGTGAGAGAATGTATGTAGCAAAGAATGGCATAGCTCGGAGTGAAGTTTGCTGTCAGTGGAAGCCCAACAGTGAATAGCATTAACATTAGAAAATAGTTCTTTGCTCCAAGCAATTAAGTTATGGCAGGAGAGTAGAAAACTTGATTTTTTTTCCTGTTTTACTCATAATTCTTCCTTGGATCTTTTTAGCCTCATAATCCACACAAAATGCCAACACAATCCACTTACTAATCTTTTTGGAAACTATTCCTTTAACATGAAATCCTTTTTCTTCTGCCTCAGTTTTCAGAATCAGAATTTTTACTTGTTTTTCAAAGACCAGCTGAAGAGGCAACCAGGGCGGCCTAACCCGATTGCTGTAAGGATATATATATGTGTGTGTGTGTGTGTGTGTGTGTGTGTGTGTTATATACTTTCTTGTAAATGCTATTTAGAATAAATGCAGCTAGAAGTCTGGGTATAAAATTGTAGATTTTTTAGAAAGTATTAAAAATTTAAGTCCAAAGCCACTTCATTGATAAATCTAGGAATTGGATCTTTTTTTGATTCAAAATAAATTTGGTGAAATTTGGTGAGGGAAGTGAAAAATATTTGAACCATTAAGTTTTTGTGGTCATTGTTGTTTTCTAATTTTTTAATTTTAATTAAATTTATTGGGGTGACACTGGTTAATAAGATTATATAAGTTTCGGGTGAACGATTCTATATCAACTGTATGTTATGTTGTGTTGAGCCATTTAGTTTTGATCTTTAGAAATTCCTTTCTGATCTAATCATGCCGATGTTTCTGTGTGCGCATGAGTGTAGCTCCCTGTATTTGCACAGGTGCTCCAGGTATTAGTGTCCGCGTGCAGATCACTGTGTGCAGCTGACTTTGCCATTCCTGGCTCTTGTTGCTCAAGTCTAGCCAAATCGACAAATACCCTGGCAAAGGCCCTCATTGCTGTGGTGGCTCCATTGCCAATGGGCGTGGCAGGGCTGCTTTTCATATCTAAGTCAGGGTTGCCCATCGCTGTTGTTTCTGCCGCAGGGTTGCGTTGTCCTGTTTCATAACCCTCTGAGTGGAAACCATATCACACAGTGCTAGGAAATGGGCAAGGTTCTACGTGAGCCTAGAGGTCCATTGTTTAGTTCTGAGTGTTTCCAGCTTTTGAACTCAAAACAAAATAGGCTTTTAAAAACAGTTAAAAAATACCAATTCACTCAGCTCCGTTGAAAGCAATGTTCTGTTCAGGCTTTCCCAGTGAAAAAGTGCTGATGTGCACATTAGTTTAGAAGTGACAGTTCGGTGCCATCCTGTGGTCATACCTTGTAATGCCTTGACTATTTTGCTCGTTTTCACCCAGTCTGCATCTGAAAAGCATAGTATGAGAGAACATACTATATGAATCTTACAAAATGTTATCCTTGGAATCATAATATAGCAGACCTGAAACAAATAGGTGATTATAGAAAATGTGTACTCGATAAGGAAAGATATGACAAACTTTACATTTAAGCATTATTTGACCATTTTTAGGGAGTTAAAAATAAGTATGTTTTTATGTTTCATCCTCACATTCATCCATATGCTTGCATAATAGGATTACATTAGAATTTTAAATTATCTTTCTACATGGAATAGGTCTGACTGCCCCTGAATTAGCTAGAGGTGTTACAAGGTAGGGAAACAATTTACTTTAATACCTCAGTACCTCCCTAACTCACCCCATGGGACTGTTGATTTAGTTTGGGGGTTAACAAACCATGGCCTGCAAGCCACCTCTGCTGCCAGATTTGTAAATAAAGTTTTATTGAAACACAGTTATGTACATTTATTTACATACTGCTTATCACTGCTTTCATGTTAAAACAGTTGAGGTTTTGCACCAGAGATCATATGACCCACTAAGCCTAAAGTAATTTCTGGCCATTTACAGAAAAACTTCTCTACTCATATTCAGAAAGGAAAATAGGCCTGTGCCTTGCATCCAGTGGACCAGAAAAGAGGCGGCATCAATTTTATTTCCCTCCTGTCTCCCAGCAGGATGCTCTTTTGAGGGCAGATGCACTGGACACCAAATTTGGTATCAGTGACGCCTCTGAGTCTCCAACAAGGCTCCGATGCACAGGAAGTCAGGGAGTCTCAGTCTGTGCTCAGAACGTCTTGCTCAGGGAAGACAAAATTTGGTAATGGCAGAAACTAAAATATCCCGTCAGCCCAGTCTTAGTGTAAAACACAATTTCTAAACTCATTTTCTAGGAACAGAGGTTTCTAAACCAAAACACATTTGCCTTTCATATTTCTAAGGTGAAGTTATGACAATATTCCTTAGTGAATTTCTGTTACAGTTCACACTTGTGATTTTATTGTTTTACAAAATGCATTGTGGTTATTACAATAGGTCAGTTTCTTTATCTTCAAAAACAACTTGCATAAATCTGGGAGCTTGAATGGCTATAGTCCTTTGGAAACTGGGGTTTGTGGATGTCACCATTCCCAGATTTCAACACCAAGGACCCCACTCACCATTTTTACCTCTCGTTTTCTGCAGTTTCTTGGGGCCAGACAAGGGGATATCAGAAGCTTGCTCTCTTGATGCCATCCTCCCAAGGGGCTTCAGTTGTTACTCATTTCTAACTGTGATAGTGCGGTATACTCATTGGAGGCATTTGTAAATTGAGGGGAGAGGAAAATAATTCATAATCTCAAAGCCTCAAAGACTTTAACCTAGACTCCAGACATACCCGCAAAAGAACCCCCCGATTCTTGCACTTTCCAACTGTACCCCATCTGATGGAAATGGATGACAACTGAATAGGAAATCTCAAAACAGGGTTCCTGCCAGTATCTTAATGAAGGCATGAAAATGCTGATTAGTATAGCAATTTTAGCAATAATGGGAGTTCTCACTGGCATATTTACAACTCTCCCCTCCCCTGTTAAATGTTAATATGTATTTACTCAAATGTTTATCAGAGTTCACCTGCTGCCAGTAGATTAATCCACATAACCCCTCCTCTACCATGAAATCAATTACTCTGTATTAAGATAGTAAGAATTGAGAGACTGCACAGCACACACACTGCTTTCCCTGCCGACTGCCCTTGATTGTGACACACGTGAACCAGAGGAAGATGGGGACAGTAATGCCTAGGTGGTCACGTGTCTACCTCAGTTAATCCTTCAGAAAACACTAAACTGTAAAAGCACTCCCGGGAAGTTTTCATAATCTTGTATGGTGTAACTCCATGGGATTACCAGCTGGTGTTTTTGTGAGAGGCTGCATTCGGCTAGAGTGAATTTTTCTTGAAGTCTCGGTGCATTTGTCTACTGGGTGATTTCACGATGGGTGATTTACAGGTGCACCTGCCTACACTGCACTGAGTGTTCAGCATTTTTCCACCAAAAATGGCTCGATCTCCATGTCCTACCTGCCCTGTTTGCCCCATCTTGCTGTGAGCAACTTTTTTCCCCCTGGATGGAAAAAGTCCTCAAAGGGAAAAGTTTTGCTGCTGTGGAAGAGGTGGAACAAAAAATGGCAGAAGCTCTAAATGTTTTACGTCCTGACCAGTCTGACTGGTGTGGCTCAATTGGTTGGGTGTCATCTCACAAAGTGAGGGGTTGCTGGTCCAGTTCCCAGTCGGGGCACTTGTCTGGGTTGCAGGTTTGCTTCCCAGTTGGGGCACATGCCAGAGGCAGCTGATTGATGTTTCCCTCCCTTTCTCCCTCCTTCCCCTTCTCTCTCAAAATAAATAAAATCTTTAAAAAAGACTTATGCATTACAGTATGTTCCTGTAAAATTTGATTTCTGAAAACTGAATCTAGTGAAACCACTGGAAACACTTTTTCATGTATAATTACACTCATGTATTTCCCATTTTAACAGACTGGAATGGTTTATCACCTGGTTTCACTAGAGGTTTTTATCTTCAAATCTTTACAGCTCAGTGGGCTTAACTTTTGGCGTTACTCAGGCCCAGAAAGAAATGCCAAAGCTACTTATCCTGTATGGCTGAGACAGTGGTTGCTGAAAGTGGGGAGGCATCTTCTTAATGCATGTGTCCGAAAAAATAGTTAATTTCGAATTGGTACAAAGTGCAAAATCATTTTGTCTGTCTTGATCGAAACGCGTCAACAAAGACATTATGAGATAAATACCAGGAACCCCAAGCACCTCACTAAAAACCCCAAGCTATGTTTGGAGTAGGTACTAGTGAGGTACTAATGAGAGTTGTCCTTTTCCAGAAGTGAAGTAATGGGAGGGACTGTGTTCCAGGTACTACTCCGGTTTATGTTGTGCTGGCCGGCCGGCCGGCCAGGTGCCATGTGCTGGAGAGTGGTGCCCAGTGAACTCTGGAAACCTGGGGGGGGGGGGGGCACTGCACTGGGTTTGGCTTCTGGAGGTTATTGGGTAGGGCCAGGATGTAACCCTGGCAGTTGCAGGAAGAGGAAATTTCCAGGAAGTGGGGAAGACCTGCTCTTAATTTTTTCTTTAAACACATCCAGGGCTCTTTCAAATTAAGTTTTAAAAACACTACAGAAAATTTCTTGATAAGACAAAAGGGCAGGGAAGGCCTAAGTACTCACATAGGGATTGTTTTTTCTGGTTCTTTCCATCCCTTTCTGAGGTTGTGCTTAGCTGTCTATTCACATTCTCTTGGCACTTCTCCACTCTGCAGTGTGGCTTCAGCCTAACACCTCTGCTGAAGTTCCTTTAGTATTCTCATTTTCTTGTCTTTCTCATCTGAGCCATAGTTGATAGTGTTGACCTGCTTTGCACCTGCAAAATTCTGCACTTGGCTCTGGCATTCACTGATCTCAGGGTGCCTTGGTGTGTCTGCTCGGCACTCTTCCTAGTTCCCTTGCTTTGCTGTTGGTTTTTCATGTATGGATGTAGCAGAAATGTCTTGTCATTTATTGCATGTTTTCAGTACCAGGCACTGTACTTAAAGGCACATGTCATTTTATCCTTAGATGATAATTTGAACCATTCTGATCCTGTTTTACAGATAGGGTAACAGGCATAATCATGGATTCATTTATTTTATGCACAAAGGAGGAAAAGATAATTCTAAGATCCTTCTAGCTATAAAGGTCTTTATCTTTTAAAACTGTAATTAATTTGAATTTTCTCATGGCCAAGTATCATGAAAGGCCTTTAAAGTTTATAGGATATATACAAAAATTTCTAGATCTAGATACTGCTAAAAGGGCTTATACAAATGAAGTTCGAGTATAATTTTATCACAAAAAATTCAGAATATGATTGCATTACAGTGTTTTTCTCTCTCCAACTTTATTTCTAAAATTTGCCCATTTTAGTTCTCCAGAATTCCTTTTGTCACTTACACTGCTTATTGAAGACACATTTCCAAAGTCTCAGATGAAATTTCATGAGCTAGAACTCAGTAAGAGCAAGTCCTGAAGTTTGGACTAAAAACAGGAAACGTTTTACAAGTGGACTATGGGACATACAATATTCTGCTTCAGCAGACGCTCCCCTTGCCTCCTGTACCTCGTCTGAATTACATCCTTGTCTCTTAAAGCCAAGCTCAAAGGCCTCCTCATCTGGTGACTGCCGTCCCATTGTAGGATCCAGTCTACGCTTTGCCATTTTGCACTTGACAGATTGCTTCCTAAAATGCCGTCTCTGAGCAGTTTGTGTCTTCTGCGGGTCAGGTGCTATGTCATTGTGTCTTTGGTAACCCCCCTCAGATATCGAATACAGAAGATGCATACCGGAGTAGGTAACTCCTAAATTCTCACAGATAGGAAGAGTTAATGGACATTGGTAGACTTTGACTGCTGCAAGGCTAGGTAATGTCAAGTGAATGGCTGTGACTGAAATGACGGAAGGGAGCCTGACTTCTCAGTCTACTGGAGGAGGGCCCTTTTGTTAGAAAAGCTTTCAAAAATGAAAGGAAAAGATGATTGATATAATTCAGTTGACTTTTAATTGAACTCCGTTGCCCATACCCTCTTCAGTGTAGTGCCTGTGAAGCCAGTTACCACCAGAGTGGAAATGGGAGTGAGTGGTTTTCCATGCAGGGTTGGTGGTTTTAAAAAGCAGTGTTGATGGGCCAGGATATAAGACACCTGTATTGGTATATTTTCCTGATTGGCCCCCAACTCCAGAAACCAAGGAAAAGGTTTTTTTGATACAGCAAGGTCTGTGCTTCTAGTCCATGTTACATCCACTATCTGCTGGCAAAATACATTATCTTCTCAAAAGTTCATGCATGAGACTGCTCTTCTCTTGATTCTGGGAAAAACCATGTGTTCAGAGACATCATAAACGTGCTCACTAAGGAGCCCCATGCACTCTTCCTAGCATGATAAACACCTTTTTTCTTTTCTTTTTATTTCAAGTACTCTTATTGGAAACAGAAGCCAGTCTTTAGGTTGAAACTTTAGGAGCAAATGAGATTGTGTTTTTGCCTTTTGGAAGTGGCTGAAGCCAGTTAGCACTTGAGAGGTGTATGTGTAACACTGGCTGATGCGGGGCTTACTCTCTTCTAAGAGTGAGGGTGGTGCTGCTAGGAAACTGGAGAGAATTGCCAGATTTTGGGGACTGAATATGGGCCTGTTCAAAATGGCAGTTTCAAAGCATATTTAGGGGTTATTACTCATGGAATATAACAGTGAGTAGAGAAGAAAGGACTAATACAATTTGTATGAATATAGATTAAGGTCAGACTATACTTTGAACGCTTGCCCAAATGTATTCATCCTCTTCCTTTTTTATTTTCAAGTTCTTTATTTGGAACTGGCCAGCACCTTCACAGTTCTGCTGGTGCTTGGAATTTTAGCTGCTTCTAGTGTGTTCCAGAGAAGTGGCTTTCAAAGTCTTTTGACTGCAGTCCACAGTAAGACATCTGTTTTGCACAACCATCTAATATGTAATATGCCTATCTGATATTTTCCATTAAAAATGCTGGTTATGGCTCATTTACTTCACATCCCATAAATAGGTCAAAACCTGCAGTATAAGAAATGGCCTAATTTTAAAATTTCTACTTAGTGTTTCCTCCCAGATCTAGCAGCTCAGGATGCTGCTGCTTATTCTGTTGGAGCCATTTGGGCTTCAACCTGTTGTAAAACCTGGAGCGTATCTAAAGTGCTCATCAACCTGCTATGGCCTCCTTTACTAAGTATTTAAAGGTGTGTCGTTTTCTGTGCGGCATCCTGACTTCTGTTTCCCAAGGCCCATGAATAGGGAACAGTTGCTAAAACATTAAAAAAAAAAACAACCCAGCTTCTGCTTATTGGAAATAATTGAGGTAGGGCTTCTTTTTGAAAACATAGCTGGCTGAGTTGCTACAATTTAAAGGTTATCAGTAGGCTATTTATTATTAACTTACTGAAATGAAACAGAAGTACAAATATGCTTTCAAATGTGTGTGAGGAATACAGAAGTTTCTTAAATCAGGTTGTATTTATTAAAAGCAAGATACAAAATATCTGGGAATTCAAAGATTACCTGTTGTAATGTTTATCCCCTAACTGGTCAGTTCTACAGAAAATAGTTATTTCAAGGCAGATAACAAAAAATTTTTAAGACAAAATTTCATACTTCTGCTTGCAGACAGTTTACTCAAGTTTTGAGGCCTCAATATGTTCTTCCATGTTTTCAACCATTAATACCCCAAAGCGATTGCTTCCCTCATACCAACATCTATTGTTTGAAGTGGTTCCCACTCTGCTCTTTGACTGGCTGGTACCTTGTTTCTTTTGCCTTTTCTTTTTTGAATTAGATTTACTCTTAGGTAGGAATAATTCAGTGGTGGCGTATGCCTTTGTGGCATTGAACAGATGTTCATAAAGTTGTTTTGCTGCAGGACACATGCTCAGGAGACTTTCTGCCGAGGTCGATGTTAGCAGTTGCCGGCACAGTCCATGCACCAGGCTTCCACTGTACAAGCTGTTCAACGAGAGAGAGAGAGAGAGAGAGAGAGAGAGAGAGAGAGAGAGAGAGAGAGAGAGAGAGAAGGGGTTAAAGCAGAGTATCCGTGCACTGGGACAACCGTCATTAGCATGGCTTCAATGAATGCATCCAAACACTGAGAGTTCTACAAAATCATTAAAATTACTTAAGAATAATCTGTTCCTCAAAGGAACTGAGTTGTTACTAAAAAGATTACTTCTTGCCTGTTGACAATTTTAACCTCAAATTCAACCATGGATGCTTGCTGGTTCTACAACTAGCCCAAACTTGAGTAGGCTTCTTAACACATCAGAGAAAGGGAATTGAAAATGTCTCTGATAAACAAGTAGTCTGTTGAAATAAGAAAATTTAATGGCATCATTTGCAGAGTTATCATTCACCGTGGACTAAAGACAAACAAGATGGGACTAACTGGAAGCCACAAACTCAGTATGTAGTTTAACTGCCAGAGGTGATCAGCCAGTGCCTTAGCAACTGATGTAGAACCTCCATCATGTCATCAGTGTAAAAGCATCAACTTAAAAGGCCTTAGTGGTGCTGAGACACAAGAACAGTCCTTTTACTGAAATCATTAAGACAGCTGTTTGGCCTTGTTTATCCTGTGTTGTTCTTTTTTGTGTAATTAATTTTTATTGTATTCTTTCCATTACCATTTATCCCCCTTAGGCCCCCCTCCTACCCCTCAGTCACCACGCTGTTGTCCATGAGTCCATTTTCCTTTTTCCTTTTTGCTCAATCCCTTAACCCCTCCCCATGCCTCATAGCTGTCATCTTGCTCTGAGTCTATTTCTGTTGTGTTAGTGCAGTATGTTTCATTAGATTCCACATATGAGTAAAATCATATGGTATTTGACTTTCTCTGATTGGCTTATTTCACTTACCATAATATTCTCCAGGTCCATTTACTCTTGTCGCAAAGTATAAGAGAGTCGTCTTTTTTATGACCAAGTAACTGTATTCCATTGTGTAACTGTCCCATAGTTGTTTTATATACTCATCTACTGATGGATTTCCTGTTTTATTTTTAAAGGGATTTCTGGTATGTAGATAGGATCCAGTCAAGAGTGGCCTAAGTTATTAAAGGCTGGAAATAAAGTATCCATAGGTCTAAGGCCAATTAATCTTACCTGGTGAAGGGTTCTAGGGTCAGGTCCCATAGAAGGCCCAGAGACACAGTAACAACACAACTGCTAGGAAGCTTTTCACCTTGAAACATTTAAAGCCACACCAGCATATTTTGCATACCTCCATGTATAATTTATTCAACATATATTTGCATACTTACTATATGCTAGGCACTGGGGCCACAATAGTACATGAAATAGACAAGGCCCTGCCGTCACAGCAGTTACATTCACGTGGGGAGAGACAAAGCGTACATACAGTCTCAACTCCATTTCCAAAGCTGGAAATGTCTCCCTTTTACCTTCTTTAATCACCAGGATGTCCAATTCACTGGCCCACACACTGCTGCTATCATTTCTTACCCAACTTCAACTCCATAATCAAACATAATCGCTCCCTGGCATGCCTCTCCTTTCATACATGTTTGGCAAAACAAAAACCTTAAAGTTCATGTAAACATCTAGTAGTCCTCTCCCTAGAAGAACCTCCATGACAGCAGGAATTTTTTTCGATCTTTTGTTCATTACACCATAGACCTGAGTAGGTATTTAATTTTTGAAAGACTAAGTGAACAATATGACAAGTGGTAAGAAATGCAATTATGAAATATAAAAGAGAATAGGGCTAGAGTGACAGGAAGTAGAGAGTAGTATTTTAGTAAGATGATCAGAAAAAGCTAAAAAGTGATATCTGAACAGACCTAAATGAGGGAACAAATGATGTCCTCCTACCAACAACTGCCTCTGTTTTACTTTGGAACTGATTTTATAAAATTGATCTAATCATGGACATTCTCTTTGGGAATGTGGAAATAATATTTTTTCCTGTTTCTAGGTCTTTAGCTAGAATAGTGTTCCAAGACCAATTATGCTAAGATTAATTTGTAAAAATAACTTCTTTGCTTTAAATATGAATAAAAGTGTTTGCTTCTGTGTGCAGCCCTCTGAACTAGTTTCCCGCGGTGCTCACCGAGTTAGGTCTGGCTCTGGGAGCGGAGTGGACAGCAGCTGATTGAGGTACACCCCCATCTGCAGACAGCACTGCCACTGACAGAAGACGTGCGCCGTGTCTAGGTCCAGTCTCGTGCCTGGCCGCGCCTGCTCCTTCACTCTTTGGAACTCCTCACTCAGCCTCTTAGCACCTTCCTCCCGCAGATCTTCCTTTCCTAGGCAAAGAACCCAAGGGCAGTAGTTCGCAAAACACTGTATCAACTTGTAATTTTCTCCACACATAAAGCTTCGTAAAGAAAAAATCGGTTTAAGTAATCAAGATGCTTTTCTTTTCTGGCCCCTTACTATTTTAATGCCAATGTAAAAGCCTTGCTGTATAAATTGAAATAATATACTGAAATGCCTTTATAATGACAATCTAACTTTATTCAACACTAAATTATTCTTCCCTTTAATCTCTTTCACTGGTGTACCACCTAACCTTAAACATATCTGCATCAAACTCTCCAAACCCTAAATCTGTCTCTGCAAAACATAAATTACTATTAAATATCATTCCTTTCATTGTTCTTTCCCGCCATACTTCCTTTCCTGGAGACCTCTGTGCTGATAGTGCACTTAAAGAAACAGCCATGTGTTCAAAGCACATTTGAGCTTCTGTTTGATGGGAGGGAAACAAAAGTATGACTCAGAGAATGTGGCAGATCACCACTTCTTCAGAGAGGACAAGGGGAAAGGAGCAACAGCCTGGGGAAAGGAGGAGTGCTGTGTGTGTGGGCCCGTGAGCCTCTGCAGGTTTGTTTGAGCAGAAGTGCGCAAAATGACATCCAGACCAACCTGAAGGTAATAAGAAAGAGGCCCACCTTTTACCAATTAGCGAGCAGCAAGGCACTGAGCCTGCCTGGGTGCCGGGTCCACAATTCCTAAAAGAAAAGAAACAGACCCTTGACGTGCCCCTTCTGTTGGACTCAGGTAAAAACTTAATAGGCTTGTGCTCTGAGAATTTTCATAAACTGCATTTATTATCCAGTGAGAGGAAATACCCTACACTTGTGTCTTAACCATCAGTGGGCCTTATTTGTTCTGCATTAAGTTGGCTGTCAAACAACAACAGTCCCTTCTGACAGCTACTCTCACACTTGGGCTTTCTTGGAGTCTATGCAGGTTCATTGTTTTATTGAACTTATTTTAGAAAGTAAACTTCAGAGTAGCGGTAGCCAGTAGAACTTTCTGCAGTGATGGAAATGTGCTGTCCTGTGGCCACATGCGGCGGCTGAGCACTGGACATGCCGTAGGAGTCATCAGACGGCCCTGGTCTAAAGGGCGTCGACTATCACACACGTTCGCATAGGGCGTTGCGGCATTCGTATCTTTAAAGAGAGTAATTCCATTGGGGAATTGAAGTGCTCCAGTGCATCGACGTTTATGTCACCTGATACTTTAAATTCAGATGAAATTGCCTCCAAGTATATTTCTCCAACAGAAAAGAAGTTGCTTCTACCACCACTACTGTGGGCATTTGGCCACATTTCAGTGCACCTACGTTTCTGTGTGCATCACACACGGCATTACTATTCCCGTGTATAATGGGCATCCTTATTTCCCCCCTCAAAAATCTGGGCAGGAAAGTACACATTATACACAGCAAAATACGGTACATGCTGACCAAAACTTACAGTGGAGAAAAAGGAAAGCAAGAAACAGCACAAGCATGAATGTTTATTGTAGTTGAGGTATTCAGAAGCCTCACCGATGGGGAATTTTAAATGTTTCTAGTGATGATGCTGCAGCTATACTGACAATAGAGACAGAGATAGGAAACGAGGAATACAAAATGCAACTGAGATCAGTCACTTCACAGGTTAAAGCACTCGGGGGCCACAGAGTACACGGGTTAGGCAGTATCCGTACGTCTTCACTGCATGTCCTTGAAGTCACACAGAAGTGCTCAAAAATATTTACCAGTGAATGAATATATATTGGTGTCTCCATTTCTAACTTCTCCTGTAACTGACAGGGGTAGATACTCCAAGAATTTTAAAAAACTTTTATTAGTGTAAGTAACAAATGTACTGGTGGGGTTTCCGGATACCTACCAGCGCTGTTGGTTATGGCGTGCAAGGGCCCCGCCAGCATGCCCAGCAGCAAGGCTTGTAGATGATGCACTTTCGCCTTGGCCTCCATGTGCTGCAACCAGTAGCAACTGACAGCAATGGGCAACTTCAAAGAAGCAGGGACTGGGTCCAGGATGGTCTGTTTCACCTTTAACGTTTCTAACAGGAGTGCCTGCCGTCTGGCCAGGGAGAGCTGAAAATACATACCGAACACCTTGCAAGTTACTTTGGGGGAATCTTTTTTATTCCTTAGTATGAAGAGACTTTACATAAATGAAATTGCTGTGTCATATTTTTATCTTCCTGTGTAAAACAATCGGCCACATTCAGCATTAGAACATTAATAAGGTGCTTAACAAATATGGTTGTTTCAATGAATGTACTGTCTACTCCCGCTACACAACCCCTGCTCATGTTCCATCGTCCCAGGAGGCTGGCCAAGCATCTTCAGTGCACACGTTACTTAAGAAGCTTGTTAAAAATTCAAGCCCTACTCCCCTACATTGTGATTCAGTGAATCTGAGGGACCCCAGAAATCTGCATTTTAACTATTTGGCTTTGAGAAACAATGATTTATACTCAATCAATCCCTTGGCAGTGAATATTTAGACCCCACCTTCTCCAAGACACCATTACTTACACCTCCAGAAAAAAACTTAGATTATGTGCGCCCTTGTGGCACAACATAGAGTTTTCTATTTGTTTGGGTCTTGTCTCATGTTCCTACCCAGTTGAATGTGTTTCTGTCTTTGTGTTCTCCAACACAGGGATTGTCCCAGGGTGGCTACTTGGAGGTGAGAGGTATACTCAAGGGAGATAGGAGTATTTAAGGACTACCTGCATTTTCCTCTCAATAACACACCACACTCACTTTTACTCCATATTTTAGAGAGTGTGCTTCAAGTAAGAAAGAAAGTAAAAACAGCTGTGAGGGCTTTGGGCTACTTGTTGAAATAATTTTATCTTAATAAACCTGAAGACTTCGGAACCACAAGCGACCCTACAGCTTACATACTTCTACAGACGAGGGAAATTAGGACGATTCAAAGGGCACCTTCAGTGGGACTTTACGATCAAACTTTAAGAGAGAAATATAATTGTATTCCTCGTGTCTGCTAGACACTTTCTTCACTTTCTGAGCGAGTCTGAGACACTTCTTGGCACCAAACACCTAGTCAGCAGTCGATGAGTGCTGGCAGCAGAGATGTTAACCTGAAATTAAACATGTCACAACTGACGGAACAGGTGCCTCGTCAGTGCCTGACAGCACTGAGTCAGTGATTTAGAGGTACTGGTTCTAATTATTTAATACTGTAATAAACGTTTTCTAATTAGACATATGTAAAGTGCTTTACAGTATAAGCAATCACCCCATAAGAAGTAGCATCAACCACTTAAAGTAAAAACAGGTAGAAAAACACACCAAGTAAAGGCTGAGAAAATACATGAATTCTTTACTGACATACAATGCTTATATTATTGAATTCTCTAGCCAACTTGCAACAGAGGAACAAAGCAGAGTCTGAGTTTGACTTCAGAGATGTTCTTCCTCCCACTAACTCTACGGCCTTGCGCAAGTTTCTGAGCTTTCCTATAGTCAGTCAAACCACCTGTGAAATGGGCATTATGAGTTACACAACATGTCCCATGGAACCCACCAATCCTCAGCCCCTTCCAAAAGGGGAACTACTCTGCTCACAGCCCTTAAATCTGGTTAGATCTTGTCCCCTGTGGCAACTCCCAGGGGGAGGGAAAGCACAAGCCTGCAGAAGAAGCTGCCACACAGTGGCAGAGGTGCCCAGAGAGGGGCTGGGCCTGGCACTGCTTTGCTCCCCAAGAATGATCCACTTCCATTTCTCCTTACAATTCTCCTCTTGTTGGTTAACTTGAGAGGCCCTCTGTCCGCTACAACTAACGTAACCAAACTGAAGCACTATCTTACGTGGTTATTGTGGGAATTAAATGAGAGACTGTATGAATTTTCTATTATAATAGTTGGCACAAAGCAGGTAAAGTATTATTACCACATCCTATTAAGAAAAAAAAGGAATAGATACTATCACAAAGTTTCTATACTGGTACCTGCATTTGTCTTTGGAATCACATTTGCACCTGATACTGTTTAGAATGATTTTGCACTGGTTAGAGCTAACAACACTGAACTAAATATAGAATTACTAGCTTATGCCAAGGGGAAGCCGAGTGATATCACTGCGTAGACAGTGAACTACAATTACACCTTACTTTGAGTACAGTTAAGGGATGAGAACACTTGTCATCTGCACTTAGCAAGGAGTTTAGTCAGCCTGCGACACTCACTGACTCCACTGGATTTTTATATGGAAGAAGAGTGTCCTGATCCCTGTGTTGGACTGTATAGGAACAAATCAGTTCTAGATAGATTGTAGATGTGAATAAGAAAGGCAAAAATTCTTTTCATGATCAGCAAGTACACAGTAATTTCTTAAGTCACAAAAGTGATATCCATAAATAACGAAAAGTTCGTATACGTTAAGAATTTCTGTTATTCAAACCGTATTAGAGTTAAAAGAATCTGCAGAATGGGAAAGGCTATTCACCACAATACATGTTACTTCACAAAGGAGCTGTATATAAAAATTAAAAATAAACAGAAAAATGGGCAAAAGACTGAACAAAAACTTACATAACAGAATGTCCAAATGGCAAGTGGACACATGTAAAGGTGCTCAAATAAGTCATCAGGAAAGTGCAAATGAACAGCCACTAAAACTGGCCAGAACGATGCCACTACACGGCCACCAAAATAGCTAAGCTTTTTAAAATGGATAGAAAATACCAGGTATTAGCAAGGGTGTAAAGTGAGAGGAACTCATACGTTTGCCAGCAGGAATATTAATTGGTAAAACCACTTTACAAGACTGCTTGGCATACATCTTGCAAGCAGAACACATGTGTATCCCATAACCCAGGAATTCTGCTCCTAGTTATATGTGCAATAGAAATGTGTTCATATTTCCACTAAATGACATGCACTCGAATGTTCATAGCACTATTCACAATAGTCCAAACTGCAAACTACCTAAATGCCCATCAGCTATAGAACAGAAAAACCAATTTTGGTATATTCCAAAACTGTAATGATACACAGCAATGAGAAATGAATTTTCTACAACTATTCTCAGAGATATGAATAAATCTCACATGACATTGAATAAAAGAAGCCAGATGACAGAGTTCATACTGTCTGACTCCATTGTTATAGAGTATAAAGACAGTCAAGGCTACTCAATGTTGTTAGAGGTCAGGATAGTGGTGAAAGGGGGTAGGAGAGGGGGAGACTAGAAGAACGAGAAAGTAGGGAAAGCTGCGGTGCTGATAATGAGTCTTCGCCTGAGTGTTCTCTACATGTAGGAAGTGTCCAGTCGGTGAAAATTCATCAAGCCGTACCATTATCTGTGTACTCTGCTGTATGTACATAGTCATACAGCAGAGTACACGGGGAGGGCGGGAAGGGATGGACTGCAAAGAGGCAAGGGGAAACGTGTGAGGATGATGGATGCATTCATCACTTTAATCGCAGCATGGATTCACGGATGTAAACATACCAAAACTTGTAAGAGCACACACTTTACATGTGGGCACCTCAGTGTACGTCAGTGATTTCTCAGCAATGCCATAAAGTTTTTAAAAAATCCTCCAGTGCAGCACCATTTATGTTATGAGTAGACATGTAATTTGGGCAAAACATCTTTTAAAATGTTGCCAATTTCAATTGTTTTTTGGGGGGGAGTTGACTACATATCTGACTTTTATTTTCTTATGTAGATGATTTCCATGAATAATTTCAATTTTTAAAGAAGACTTCATGTATTTATTTTTAGAGAGGAGGGGAGGGAGGAGGAAAGAGAGGGAGAGAAACATCAGTTAGTTGCTTTTTGCATGTGCTTTGACTAGGGACCGAACCTGCTACCCAGGCATGTGCCCTGACTAGGATTTGAACCAGCAGCAACCTTTTGCTTTGTGGGATGACGCCCAATGGAGCCACATGGGTCAGGGCACTGCTAATTTCAATTTTATTGGTATGTGTAAAGTTTTAATAAATCCCTTCTCTTTGGAATTTGACCTATGCTCAACTTTTCTAGTTCTGTAACCCTGGAGATGGGATAACGGTAGCTGTGTTACTTAGCGTGATAAAAAAATGTCTTTTGTAAAATTCCATCCAGACTTGAATGATAAACAAACTGTAAACACCAGATGGGGACATCACATCATGGGGCTTCTGTTAGTGACTTGTAATTAAGCATGTCCTTTGCAGAGACCCTGGAAGTGATGTCTATGGAATTGTGACAAGGTTGAATCCTGTGGGGAAGGAGGCCGGTGAGACTTTTTCTTTCTTTAACTGAGATACATCATGTCTTAAAACTGTCTTTTGAAGTGGTTTCTGTATATTTATAAGCTGTGCAATCATCACGGATGTTTAGCAGCATCCTTGGCCTCTACACACTCGATGCCGGTAGCAACACCTCCCTCCCTCTACCCGCCCGCCCAGGTAGTGACAATCAAAAGTGTCTCCAGACATTGCCAAATGTCCCCCTGGGGGCGAAATCATCCCCAGTGGAGAACCAATGGTGTGGAACGCTGCGAGGTCTCTCACAGAAGAGGAGAGCCTGACTCCAACCGGCTGGGAAGCTGTGCTCGCCGTCCTCCATCCCCGTGCAGACCGGCGCCCAGAGTGACCTGGGATGGTGCTGTGGGTCTGAGTGTTTGGTTGGATCTAGGAGACACTCCAGTGGGCACTGAAATTGGCATTATAAATTTATCTGCATGTAATTTGTAAATTTAATTGTGTTAGCACAAGCAATTTCTAGCATATCTATTTGTCATTTTTAATATATTTATATAATATGAAAAACAAAGCAAACCCGGAATCAGTAAGAATTTTTTTACTTTGATAGGGGGATTAATCTAGTGTTACTCAGATTTAAGCAACACTACTTAGGCTAAGAGATGTTTTCTTTCATTATCACGCCAACCAAATCACCATGAAGCCATAAATAGAAAGCCTAAAAAAAGGCCCTTGTCAACAAAGATGAAAAACAGACCCAAGCACCAGTATCAATCTTGTTAACTGAAATTTGATGCAGGCTGTTATGTTAGTTATGCCTATGATCAATGCCTTTAGGCACACTTTTTTTCTTTTTAGCTCATAATTTTTTCCCATTCCTTTTTTTTTTAAGCCACATAACCGCACTGTGATAGCAAGTAACAACAGAGTAGTAGTAATAATTACAGAGTTAACGTGGACTATAACTGAAATACATTGAAATGGCAGATTCGGAGCTAAAAGATCTCAGTGAGTCCAGGCACTGATACTCCCTGGCTGAGGTGATACATAGTTACTGCTTTGGCCCTAATTTTCTCAGCTATGAAATGGGGGCAGTATGGCAACCAGCCTCAGTTTATTATATTAAGAGAGATAATACACATGAAAGCACTCTGTAACGTGTGAAGTGCTTTACAAAATTGATATTCGTACCACAAACACTTACCTCAGTCAACTTGCTTAAGTCAGAACTATCCTGGGGCAGTTCTACTGCATCGACAGTTGATGTTTTGATATTTTTATTAATCCTTTCCACTTCACTGAAAGCTACAGGCCGAGCAGGTGATGCATTCAAGGACACATTTTCCAGATGTCGAGAAACATTCAAAAGAAGCCCATAAATGATTTGCCGGATGGGCAGAGATATTCTGTGGGCACTCGGTTGCTGCATGTTTTCCACCTGTGTGTGAAGAATGGTCCGTCTTAGCACCAAAGCATCGCTGATGAAAGGAGAGAGCTCACCTTTGGCCAGAGCCTCTAGGACCCAGGCTGGTAAACCCAGATCCAAGGCCTCTGGACAGGCATAAGTACCACTCTGGAAGAAGTCCTGCAGCTTCACCGGGGACTGCTGGTATTCTTCCATGGAATAGCAGAGTAGTTCCTTAACATTTTCTCGATCTTTTTTGGGGAGATATTTCAGAACATCATCTAGTGCTTCAGTAGGCTCAGCAAAACGAGACAACCAATTCAGAAGTCCCAGAACCCGGTGGTGTCTCCTCCCCTTAGAACTGGCACCTCCAAGAGGAAGACGTGCTTTACTTAAGAATGTCTCCATGATGGGCAGATTAATATAGTCATTTCCACATAGCACCGCAAAGAGAGGTAGAAGTGCTTTATTCATATTGCTGAAGTAATGGCAGAGTGCATCAAGGGAAAAGCATTTGGCAGGGATATAGAAGTCTCGTGTGCCCTTAATAGTGTTCAGATTTCTCCACTGAAAGCTATTCAATGGGCAAAACCCAGCTTTCAGGTCGAAAATGCAAAAGTCACTATCCGACGATAACACAGGGCAATTCCAGTGATTAGCCAGTGTCATAATGTCCCGATCTGCTTCTGAAAAGCATTGGACAAAACACACCTGCAGCTTGATCAAAACCTGTATAAACACTTCCCGGATGAGCAAGGGACATACATACCCACCCCCACCAACAGAAAGGGAATGGGCCATCTGGATCTTCTCTCTAGCTCGATCCTTCAAAGTTGTAAGCTTTTTATCGGAAATGTCACATCCTCCGTCTAGTACAACATATGGACATATATTACAAGAAAACAGTGATTCAAAGAAACTGTGTACAACATCTGCAAAAGAATCATAGTCCCCTCCATACCGGAGCTCCAAGTTTGAGTTGAAGCAAAGCCGGTGGAAGAGAGCATAGCCATCAATAATAATTTTTGTGTCTCTCAACTTCAAATCTGTGAAGAACTCATTACTATGATCTTCCACAAAACTCATTAGTCCTCGGATACCCATGATGACTGTCTGAAGAATTGCCTGTTTAAAACAATAGAATACAGTTTCAATTGACGCTAGTTACATGGGACCAAGCCATTGTTTCCACCGCCACCAAATCAGCGGCAAATGTTATAAAGAACTCTTCAAATACAACATATTAGGTGTCGGCATCTTAATTCTTATCTAGACCCTCAGGCAAGACCAACTAGCTGAGTGCTTTTTCATTCTTTTTTGCTACCCCTGTGTGTTACAAGGCACAGGTTCAGTGGTTCATGGAGTTTGTTCTTTGGATACGATTGAGGTTGCTAATGATTCTAAAGGAAAACTGATTAAAATCCATTACTGACATATAGAATACAACTTCTGTTGACTTTGATATTGACATAGGCAACAGTCTTACAAAACAGAATATTCACTTGGTGGGGTCAAAGTAAAAAGTCCTAAGTCATAAAAATTATATCTTCTTCAATCTCACAGTTAGTAAGTCAAAAAGCATTGGGCTTTAGTTAATTAAAGTGTGTACAGTCAATGATATGGATCCAGTTTTTTTGACAGAGTCTAAAGTTCCAGAGTCTGAAACTTATTTCAGGCATTGACTTGTGGGCCCATCTTAATTGGCATAGTTTTGAGTTAAGCGAAGTTTTTATGCTTCCAGGAACTAACAGTCCAGTGTTACCCCAATCAGAGGCCCTTACCTTCTTGTCTTTGCATTTCTGGCCCAGTTACCAGCAATAACCTTCAATATCTGGCAAATTTAAGTCACAGGAGCAGAATTACTAGTTTTTCCTTTGGCCTTGGGATCCAGAATGGCTCAGCATGGTACTGTTACAAAATCGTGAGATTTTTGTCAACCATGGATTTGTTTTTGCATTCATTTTTGCATTCATTTTGATTTTTGAAGGTACTGCGTTAAAACTTATTTTGATTACAAAGTTTTCCACCACCCCTTGCATTTTGTGTTTGACTCACTTTCACCCTAATCTCGGCCCTATCTCTGATAAGTATAAAGAAATAATACTTATTTCTTTAGAAGTCCCTCTTGTACGTAAAGTTTGACAGCAGAGACCGTGTCAACACATCTTAAACTGACTACGGGACCGTGGACAGTGGTTGAACAAATGCGTGCTGGATAGTAGAAAATCCTCAAACACAGGCCTTCACACACCGCGTCACCCGGGCCCTCACAACCCCGCCACTCCGACCAACAGCAGAGCCCACCTGCTGCCTCCTCACCCTAGACTGGCCGGTCCATTCAGAGCCCTCGGAAGCCCAGCAAGAACAGGAAGCGGAAGCCCCCAACCTGAGCGCGGGAACAGGAAGTCTCCCGGTCTACCTCACTGGGAAGCCCGGTTCCGTGAAGCCAGGAGCGCCTGACTGCGCGTGGGGGGAGCACGCGCTCCCGCGCAAGGTCGCTGGAGAAGGCTGGGGAGTACCCCCGGAGTGGCGGCTGTCTCGTTAGGGGTTTGCTCGCTCTCTTTTCCCCGCCCACTTGAGTCAGCACACTTCCGCCCAGGTGACAGGCTCCGGTTGCCCCTTCCGACTTCCCAACATGCCCTGCGTTGTCTCCCTGGCAACGGTGCCCAACAAACTTGGCCAGAGCTGGTCCTGGAGCTCGGCGGGTCCTGAGGGCCATCCCAAAGTAGGTCCCACTTGCGGGCGGGGCACTGGGCATACCCTGGCGCTGCGGCCCCACCGCCCTCGACTTGGAAAGGCATGGGAAGAGCTCTCCGACGCTGGGCGTGCCGTGCTCCCGGGCGCCGGCGAAGTGATGGTTTCGGCTGCCTCGGTCTGGGTCCACATCTCTGGACCTCCAAGCCTTCGACCTCCTCCCTTCCCTCGACTCCTTACCTCTGGGGTCTGCTCCGTTGTCCGCAGAATAAGTGCTGCTCGTGCCCCCTCTATACATGTTAACCTGCTTTGCGAAGATGCCACTTTTCGAAAAGTTGAGGCAGTTATGTTAGTTACCTTTAAGGTTGGATTCCTAAATTAGCAGAATCTGGTGTCAGATCTGCTTCCTCTCATTTACCATTGCCATGGAAGAGAACTACTTGGCTTCCACCTGTGATAAGCACTCCCTTCCCCTATCTTTTGCCCCAAGCTGGGTCAGCTTCACATGCAAGGGACCGTTTGCACAGAGTGGTACTCTTTCAGCCACAGAGTGGCTCACAGTTCCATGCAGTTTTGTAATTTTTCTCTCCCCTCCCCCTACCATACATGCTTTTTCCCTTTTTCCGTCAACTGTTGTTCTGCTGGGTGCTTATTCTTCCGGCTTTATCCCATTGGATATTTAAGTGTGGGTTTAAAATCAGCATGATAAACAATTTTCTACTTCTTAACATTTTGTAGGAATTACAAAGGTAAATGTTACTACTACTACTTTATTTTAAAAGTCAACCCTTTAAATGGTCTCTATGTCCAGAATTTTAAAAAATTATCTAGAAGTCATAGTTTTTAAAAAGTTACTTGGTAGCAAAAAGGGTAGGTAATTACTATTGTTTTTTGTAAGTCAATCAAAATTATACTTATTTTTCTTGTCAGATTGGCAAAAAATATATTCTGTAGTGTGTTGCAGAATCTTAATTAGTTTATGTGTGCTGTGAGATGAAAAAGGCTGAAAATCGCTGCTGTAAATGGGCATTTTCTTGTTTATGTTCTTCTCTGAAGCCTTTTGGCTGTGTGCCCCAACCTACACAGGTAATGTCCTATTTTGTCATTATATACAACAGGTTTTGTTTCATAGCTTTGGAATTGTTGAGTTAGGAAACCTGACTTCAAGTCATAGAGTCTTTGATCTAAAGTCATGTTTTCATATAGATTTAAAACAAAAATTTTTATATCTTAATGAAATACGTGATTTTACCGTGCACACACATATGCAACAGTCCTGAGTTATAATTCTGCTGTGCATTTGTAGCTCTGTGAGGAATTACAGATTTACCTGTAACGCATTTCTATTCAGCTAACATTAAAACATAATTTTAAGTTTGAACTACTTTTGTAATATTTCTCATTTCCAATCCAGGGAGATTGCTCTATACATAGTATGTATAATTGAAGCTTTAGAAACTGGATCAGAATTGCTTAGAATGGGAAAAAAATTTGTTCTGAATCTTTACCCCTTTTCACATCAATTGGAAGAAATGCATATACCGTGGTTTAAAGTCCACAGAAATAGAATATAAAAAATCTAAAGAAACCAGTATCATGCTCATTTCTCCTTTAATCTGAACTCAATATTTGTTCATAAAAAATAGACATAGGTGGGAAGAAAGACTTACAAAAAGGCTGATGAAAATATGTAGATTTAAGGAAATGATAATGTTCTTATATTTGAATGATTTTTGAAAAGTAGGTGGGGAGTATATGTCTTAACCAGATTGTTCATTGAAAAATATATATGCCTCTCAGAACCCTGGGGGAATTTGATGTAACTCAGTTTTGCTGCGCGAATGTATGAGGGAAGGCAGTCTTCCTGTGGAAGGCTGCCTGCCTTCCATTGGAATCTTCAGTATTTTTACTTTGTAACATTTTTCTTTCAAGTTGTTAAAGTTAACCAACATGGCTCATTCAATCCACTCATCAAGGTGCAGGTATCACTGCCAAAAACTGACACTTTTTCTTGGGAATAGTTCAACATTTTTTAGACCTAATCTCTGGACTTTTTGTCTTTAAGGCACTGACCAATGCTACTTGGATGAATTCGACCATCTCCTAGGAGACTTGAATGTTAAGTTTCTATAAACAAAGAAATCAGTTATTTCATGTTTGGAGCAATGCTGAAATTCCAAGAAGCTGCCAAATATGTGAGTGGATCAATAGCCGTTTCCAGGTGTCCAAAGACCTTAATTGCAAGAAGATATGTGCTTCAACAGAAGCTCGGCAGTGGAAGTTTTGGAACTGTCTATCTGGTTGCAGACAAGAAAGCCAAACAAGGAGAGGAACTGTAAGTAAAAGTACTTTGTACAACTCTTTACTTGGCTGCCCGTGTGTGCAACTTTTAGCTGATTAAAAATGTGGAGTACCCTTCACTTTGACTTTTGCATTAAAGAAGGTAGTAAGAGATTAAAAAAAAACTCCTTAAATGATGTCTTCAGATAAGATTTTTGAAGGCATTTCAGCAGGTGAGTAAACTACCCAAATGACTTAGGAAGGGAAATGGGGTAGATTACATGAAAATAAAATTTTTATGCATACTGCAATCTCAGTTACAACATTGCTTCAGTTTGACTTGATTAGTACTTCTTGAATGATAGAATAAGAATTGTTTATAATGACTGCAGTTTTAGAGATGTTATGAAATGCAAATACATGGAAATTCACATTTGAGGTATCTAGGGTGTCCTAGAGGAACTAAGGTATCAATTTTCTTTGCCTTTTTGTACAGAAGAGTTTTTCAGAGTCTGTAGTTATACAGTTTTCAAATTAGATATGCAAACCAAACAGGGGCTCCCATTTAAAATTAGCTTATGGTTTTTTTTTAAGATTTTATTTATTTATCTTTTTTTAAAAATTTATTTATCTTTAGAGGGGAAAGAGAAAGGGAGAGAAACATCAATGTACGGTTGCCTTTCATGCACCCCCTGCTGGGAACTGGCCTGCAGGGAACCAGCCTGCAACCCAGGCATGTGCCCTGACTGGGAATTGAACCGCGATCCTCTGGTTCGCAGGCCTGTGCTCAATCCACTGAGCTACACCAGCCAGGGCAAAATTAGCTTATGTTGATGAACTTATTACTTCTTTTCCTTTGATTTGATTGGACCTATAAACTTCATAGTAGAGAAAAACACTGAATGCTGTTGAACAGTACATCTCTTATAGAGCAGGATGAATCTTCATTTTTAGCTTAAGATTGTTTGAATTTGCTGCAGTGAAAAGTTAGTTGTAACTGAATTGAGGATAAGAAACTTGTACATCTGAAATACAGGAGACAAAGAGAGCAGAAGAAAGAATGATCTAAGAAATAAGCCGTTAACTGAAGAACACATTCCCGTCCTGTAATCTATTTTGAGGCTACTCTAAATTCTTCCAGCTTTATCCCATGGGATATTTAAGCATGGGTTTAAAATCAGCATGATAAACAATTTTCTACTTCTCAACCTTTTGTAGGAATTATAAAGGTAAATGTTACTAATACTACTACTTTATTTTAAAAGTCAACCCTTTAAATGGTCTCTATGTCCAGAATTTTAAAAATTATCTAGAATTCATAGTTTTCAATAAATTTCTACCTGAAGAATGGTGGCAGTGCTATTACTCTTCTGGTGTCCTTAAAACGTGTTTTAAACCCCGGCTGGTGTGGGTCAGTAGATCGAGTGCAGGCCCACGAACCAAAGGGTCGCCAGTTTGATTCCCAGTCAGGACACATGCCTGTTTGCAGGCCAGGTCTCTGGTGGGGGGCTTATGAGAGGCAACCGCACATCGATGTTTCTCTCCCTCTCTTTCTCCCTCCCTTCCCCTCTATGTAAAGATAAATAAATAAAATCCAAAAGGAAAAAAAAAACTCCTTAAAAAAAAGAAACATGCTTTAAGACTCCTACTGAAAAAATTTTGTTCCCTTTTAAAAGTCCTAGAGGCACTCTTCTAGCCATTTAAAACAGGATGATCAATTTCTGAAAATTACTAGAGAATCTTTATGGAAACCTTGAAAGTAAGACCTAAATCTGACTCAGGACTTGTAAAACCACATTGTAAACTCTATCCAATTTTGGTTTCTTCAACTAAGGAGGAATATGAAGAATTTAAAAAATTCACAGAGGGGCTAAAAAAAAGTTCGTTAAAGGGCTGTAAAGTAATGTGTGAAGACCAAACTTGAAAGCTACAGACTTAAAATGATGGGTGTGTGTGTGTGTGTGTGTGTATAAAGAGAAAGGGAGGGGGAAGGAGGGAGAGAGAGAGAGAAAGACCGTGAGAGAGAAGAGGGGCTGGTTGATGGGGAAGTGGTTTGTTAGTGACCACTCCTGTGCCTCAACTAGTCTTAAAAATATGACTTGTGCTGAAGATGACAGACCAGGCCTAGGCGGGCAGGATGAAGCCAGTACTGAGGATACTTGACAAATCATCCAATGTCAGAAGGTCTAGTCTAGAATCAGGAAGGAATCATTCATCATCATAATCCCTACGACATATTACATATTGGCCACATTCAGCCTTCAGATTTTTTGGCGGGGGGGGCCCATATAGTGCTTCTTTTTAAATCTAAATTAGTTGCCAGCATTTAAAAGTGAGCAACTCTAAAAAAAAATAAGACTCTAAAAAAGACTCATAAAAATGGAGTCTTTTATCTTTTCTTGAGAAATCCCAGAAGGTTTGGTAACATTTGCATCGCTGTCTGTGTGGCCAGTACGGGCTGGAGCAGGGTAGCAGCTGGCCCCCGAAGGCAGACCCTGTGTTCCAGTTAGCCACATCCTTGCCATTCCTCGTCACACCTTCCACCACCTGCCTACCTTTGTAGACATTTCATTTTGTAACTCTCTGCTGAAATCATGAAGAATCATGAGTGTGGGTGCTCACAAAATCCAAGCATGTTAGAAAGAAGGCAGCACAGGGTCACAGTCAGGACGGCAGGCTCGGAGGTGAACAGGCCAGGACCAAAGCCAGCCTCGTTCTTACCTGTAAGCTCAAGGTTATGCAGGTTCCTAATCTGAGCTCTAGTTCTCTTCTCTGTTTGTGGGCATAATTTACAGTTTAGAAAGGTGGTAATAAGGTTTGGCTGGATATCTATGTGTGTATGAAATATCAATATAAATATTATGTAATAAAGGGTATAAGATGAATAAATATAAGGTACATTATATTTATTTGTAAATATATGTATAAAATATAAAATATGGGTATCATAGTGTCTTACATATAATTATCACTCAACAACAGTCTAGATTTATTTTACTTCTAAACAATCCAAGTTAACAAATAATTAAAGGAAGTCTAATAAAAGTTTATCTAATCACCACCCAATGACTATAGTTGGAATTTTCTATTAAATGGAAGTTTTTCTTTTGTATTCTGCCTTTAAGAGAGAAAAATCAAAGAAATATGTCAAACATGTAATTTTTAAAATTTCTTTAGTGAACTTTCTTGAGGTTGTAAATATTCTTTTTTTTGTAGTTCTATAACTGTTCAAAAGAAATTGGCCCTCAGAATGTTGACCTTTTAGCTGTACAAGATAGCCATGTACCTGTAATTGTTACTTGACCAGAAAAGCCAATGTTTGTGCTGCCTGTCAGGGACAAATAAGCAGAGACAGGGGTTGAATCTTAACGGGTGCTTTATTCAGATGGCCCGTGATCTGAGAAGATGGTGGGTTTGTACCCTAACAGACTGAACAGGTCCCAGCAACGGGAGGTAGCAAAAAGGGCCACCATTTCCCCACTCTGACCCCGCCCCCACATACAGCATCACAACCCAGCGACCCCGCCCTGGAGGCCCCGCCCCTCCCCTAAGGCTCCGCTCCTCATACTTAACAGTGCGAACAGACCAAAAATGGCTCAAGAAGATCTCAAAGCCCCAGAGCCCATAACTCTAAGTGACGAAGAAATAGCCAAACTTTCAGATGCACAGTTCAAAACACTGGTCATCAGGATGCTCACAGAACTGGTTGATTTTAGTCACAAATTAGAGGAACATATGAAGGCTAAACTAATTGAAATGAATGGAATTGCACAGGAAACCAATAGTAATGGAAAGGAAACTGGGACTCAAATCAAAGGAGTGGACCAGAAGGAGGAAAAAAATGACCAACCAGAAAAGATTGAAGAAACAAGAATTCAAAAAAATGAGGAGAGTCTTAGGAACCTCCAGGACATCTTTAAATGCTCCAACATCCGAATTATAGGGGTATCAGAAGGGGGAAAGGCACAGCCACCAGTGGAAAACTTATTTGAACAAATAATGAAGGAGAATTCCCCCAATCTGGCAAAGGAAATAGACTTCCAGGAAATCCAGGAAGCTCAGACAGTCCCAAAGAAGTTGGACTCAAGAAGAAACACACCAAGGCACATCATAATTACATTAGCCAAGATTAAAATGAAAGAGAGAATCCCAGAAGCAGCAAGAGATAAGGGGACAGTCACCTACAAAGGAGTTCCCATCAGACTGTCAGCTGATTTCTCAAAAGACACCTTATAGTCAAGAAAGGGCTGGAAAGAAGTATTTCAAGTTATGAAATCCAAAGACCTACAACCAAGATTGCTCTATCCAGCAAAACTTTCATTTAGAATGGAAGGACAGATAAAGTGCTTCTCAGATAAGATCAAATTCAAGGAGTTCATCATCACAAAGCCCTTGTTATATGAAATGTTAAAGGGACTTATCTAAGAAAAAGAAGATAAAAAATATGACCAGTGAAAGGACAACAAACTCACAGTTATTAACAATCATATCTAAAACAAAAGCAAGCTAAGAGGACAGCTAGATCAGGAGCAGAACCAGAGAAATGAAGATCTCAAGGAGGGTTAGCAACAGGGGAGTGGGGGGAGGAGAAGGGGAGAGAAGGTACAGAAAATAAGTAGCATAGATGGTAGGTAGAAAATAGATAGGGGGAGGGCAAGAATAGTATGGGAAATATAAAATCCAAAGAACTTGAGACACATGGTCATAAACTAAAGGGGGGGAATGGTAGGGGTGGGGGGTGCAGGGTGGAGGGGAATGAAGGGGGGAATAGAACAACTGTAATGGCATAATCAATACAATAAAAAAAATTTTAAATTCCTTTTTATAAGCAGAACAAAGTGTAAGTAAGGGGTCTGGAATTCAGGGGAAATTTAATTGGATTAAAAAAAATCAGCCTTCTGGCCCTGGGTGGTGGTCTTTATCTGTGTCCTAGGCGGCTCACCCTGGAACGCAATGGCTTGGGCCACAGCAGTCCTCTTGGGCCACCAAAGGTGGAGCTGCTGGTGGTCTCCTGGAGTCCGGGTGGGTCAACCCTTCAGTCCCTGGAACAATAGC